TCGAAATGTCAATATCGGCATTCTCCACTGGACTCCATTTTGACACTTGTATTCATCGTACCGATAAAGTGGATTAAAGTAACATTGTCGCAAAGCATAATAGAAGTCGTCGCATAGTACCTCTTAAGCCATTTGTTGTTCAATTAAAGCGAAAAAAAATACGTGTCCAATATTTTTCTATCATCGGACAATGACGTGACGGAAGCATCGAGTCTTGGGTGTTATTTAACGGGTTCGCATAGTATTCACATTTTGGCTAGCAGAAAAATATATTCTGTCAGTTGAAATATATGATTGGTCAGCAGACCATGGCTAGCAAACAATATCAAATCAATCGACAATTTTTTACATTCTGGACGGCTGTAATTATTTTTTATTAGCATAATAATCATATAAGCTGCAATGAGTGACGCATATTAAATACAATTTTGAACAGCACTTAGAGGGAAGCAACTAATCTAATTTTGTGAAGCATATAAATAATAGCAATAATGACTGGCGCAAAATGGGCGCATTCCTTACAAAAATAATGAATGGGTATTAGAGTAAAACTAACTAATTAAATTAACTGCCTCCGTGTCCTAGTGGTTAGAGCGTTAGGCTCTCGATCCGAAGGTACTGGGTTCGATTCCCGGTGGGGATACTCTCAAATATTTCTTTGTGAGTTTTTCCCAGTTTGGTTAGGACATTACAGGCCTGAATCACCTGATTGTCCGAAAGTAAGATGATTCCGTGCTTCGGAGGGCACGTTAAGCCGTCGGTCCCGGCTGCTACCTACAGTACTCATATAACACTCGCAAAATATCAAAATTCACACTAATTAACATAAAACAAGTTGTTATCACTGTAATTTGACAGCTACTAATCGCCGCAAAGACACCGAATGACAATACACGCACGCGATTGGCTACTAGTATCATGCGACTACTCTTGCTCTGCCCACTTTTAACGTACATTGCAGACTTTTCAATAAAAATGCAAACCAATTAGTTATTCTTCTAACCATGCTTTAAATACGCAAACCGATCAAATGAACTGCTAACCAGACAAATATTTCTTGCTGACCAATCCTGAATCTTTCTGATCAAGTAGTTATTTTGGGGATAGACTGTTTATTTGACATACACATATTATTTTAAGCTGACTGTATATGATTAAATTACTGATCATTATCAAGATTATTTGCGAAACAAGGATTGCCGATTGTTTTATTTTTCTTGCATACAAAATCTTTAAATGCTGATCAAACGATTAAAATACTGATTTTTGTGGCTTCGACATAATTTTTAACCAAAAACACAAGTTCAAATTCGCAAAAACAACAAAATTCAATATTCTTGAATTGTCTAACGTAGTGTCAAACTGACAGTTCTATGTTGTTGCCATATGAAAACGGAAAAAATAGGTGGTGTCACGTTTCGCTTGCCAAACTCTATCTGTCCTATCATCATCGGACAATGCGTGACGGAAGCATGAGTTTTAGTATTTTTTTATATTGTATGAATAGTGGCACTTACGAAGTATATCCTTTTTAGTGTAATGCCATTACTTTGGCCGTCGTCTGGAGCTCTTATGCGGGTGCCACACATATCATCAAAGTTTGAGAAAACATTTTAGTAAGTTTTGGCTCTATCTGAATGATTTATTACAAAGGTTATGGCTACATTTGTTATAAAGGTGGTTCAATCGTCGTCCAAATTTTGACCTTTGGACGACGATGGTGATGCGTCAGTTTATGCGCATAAACTGACACATAATTGCAAACTACAAATGTGTATTATTTGGTCACATTCGTAAATGCCGTGCCACATTTGGCGACTTTGTAGGTATTTGCGATTTGAACAAACCTCTGGCGGGAGCTTCTTTTATATGTCAACCTTGTATTATAAAGTCAGCGGGGGTCTTTATAAATTGTGAGGCTTCTGGCGGTAGGTCCTTTCATGGCTTTTTGTACCTCGTGAATATTATGTAATGAGAAAGTAAGTCTGGTTTTGCATTTTGACGAGAATTTTCGGAAAAAAATAATATAACATTAAAATAAAATTAACATAGATTATTTGGTTTTGAGTCATAAAATCAATGATTATCGTAATATGTTTCAAAATACAAGTGTTCTTTACGTGACTTGACTCAATTATTAACAGATATGTATTCGTTGGTTATATTTTTTTTTTGTAATTTTCTTAATATTTGTAACATATTGGACATGTCTATATACTTACGGTTTAGTTCTATTACATTGAAATTATAATACTTCATTTGCTGCTTGATCTTTTAAATTAATGAGTTATCTCATTTATCGTCATTATACAAATATGTATTTTATTTTAATTATGATCATAATAATCTAAGTTAACATAAAAGTCAAACTCTCCGCAACGACTGAGCATATTTAAAAAAGGGAACTAATTTTTGAGCTGATGTTATTATGATCAGTTGAAAAACATATTAAGCAGTTATTTAATTTAATGGCGGTTGATTAATTATTGCGACAGTAAAACATGGACAGTAATTAAAAATCAATTAGTCGGTTATTTTATATTGAGCAGTCCAATAACTGAATGAGCGGTAAAAATGATGCAATGAGCGTTTCGATAAATAGTTCGCCAGATCATAGCGAGCGGTGACACCCGTACTCGAATTCATTGAAAAGAGAGGTAAATGTCCTTTACTTGGGCGGAGCTTATTAGCGCGGGTGGCGGAAGAAATGGTGAGCGTGTAATGCCATTACGTGAACGTGAACCCTTCTGAAGACTATTTTGCAATATTGCCGGAAATAACTTTGAAAGACTTCATATAATTGGGCCAAAATACCGAAAGAGATTGAAATCATACCTAATAATGATAATGATAATTTGACGCATTATCAAGTACGTGCTACAGAAGCTAAAGAATGCGTAATAATTGAAAATCCACCTGAAAATTTTGATGAGTTCAAAGAGCAATTTTTTAATAAATGTGGCAGACTATCGAAAGCCAAACCTACTCTTAAGCTCTTATTTAATTCCTTTAGTCAAAGCAGACGTAATTCTGAAGTCATTACTGTTTTTTTATTATTTTATTTTACCACCTCATTGTTTATAGAATTGCTTAGAATAAGATTTCTTACCGACAAATTCCGATTTATTACTGCCCACACGTAACCGCTCGTTTAATAATTTATTTTCTTGCTCAATTATATCGCTCACTGAATACTACAGTGGCACAACTTAAAAATCATATTTCGAGAAACGCTCTCCGAAGTTATGAAAATTTAATGTATTTATAATTATGAAAATCATTTTTTTTAGCATAACAGTTAAATCGTTTGCATTATATTATTACTGTTAAGTTTTTTATTTTTTCTTTAAATTATCTATGGGCTGCCACCACAATGTTGTGGCGTTTTCTCAAAATAATAGTTTTTGAGTTGTGCCACTGTAGTGTTCAGTGAGCGATATATTCACTGATCCATTTCATTATTTTTTATTATTCATTTTTGTTTACTTTACTGCTTAGTTTTAACTGCTGAACTAATTATTAAACGTGCCATTTATAATTTTTAACTTACCAAAACTGATATTTACAATTGCCTTTTTAAATTAGTGCCTTTAAAAAATTGGGTAGTGTAGTTCATGTTTTTTTTTATTAAGGCTGCATGATAAACATGCCAAGACCACAACCAAAGACTAAAGAGTTTACATAGAGTTTATGAGTAACTCGGCTTGTCTTTGGTTATTTGTTTTTTAGATTAGCAACTCTAACACAGAATGTTAATCGATTAGTTATTTTACTCGAACCGAATACTTATTTTAGTAAGTATATTGGTAAGGAAATCTAAAAATGATTGATGGTGAACTGGGGATCTATAGTATTTTTTATTATTTATTGCACTGAAAGGAAATAATGTTCAACAATAGATAATTTTACGCAAAGCAGATGATGTATACATATACAAACCGGTACCTTACGCTGTCATATGGAACTATAATAAATAATTTAAGTAACTTTACCAAATTCTAATGTTTCTTACTATCCGAATATCTAAATTATGTGTTGTATTAGTATGCAAAAAAATAAGGTTTTATGTTATGTATAGGGTATTTTTTTTTAAATCACAGCTTATTTTGACGTAGATTATGTACAAACATACACCTGTATACTCTATATTAGCAATGTCATTCATTTATTTATTCCATATCTAATATTATATATGACCCGTCAAAAAAATCCAATTATATTTAACTTGACCCGGACTCAAACATGTCCGGTCAAGTTCATAATACATATGTAAAGTTTTTTAATAAACTTAAAACTTTAAATATGTATTTGTTTATTAATAATCTCTACTAATATTGGAACTATCTGTTTCGCTTACACATGTAATTCAAATGAGCTTTATTTTCTTCTCTTTCACCATTCGTATTTTTCTCTGGCGACATGAAAAATATCTTTGTATCTTTTCCTTATTAATAATTCGTTGTATTATAGTAGTCGACATGCTAACGTATATTAACTGATTAATTCTATAGAAAAAAATATGTATCATGACTGGATTCATTGATAGTTTTATGCCAATATATAAAAACACTATAAATTAAAAAACTTTTCACAAATTTGTTATAAACATAAAAAACAATATTCCTCATTGGATATATCAATGGAAATCCATTGATATTTTTACAAATATTCGCAACAATTCATAATTCGACTTGATACAAATAAGACGAGCGTTATAAATACTTATACCGTTTTGCTACATTTTTATTGTCTCTTTTTTTTATATTTTCTCATTAAATCCATTCTATATTTACAGTTTATTTATTTTTTTTGGAATAAATCAGCATTAACATTGTTTAAAAATAAAATATATGTAAATAAATAAAAATATGGGATCGATTAATCCCATATTTTTTTTTCGTTGTTGAGTAATCGATTCTAAGTTAAAGTCTTAGGGTTGCCAGCAACTACCACTGCTAAAAATTACATCACCATTTCATGGCACGCATTCATTTGACGGCATTTGTTAAATTTTTCGACTTTTCGTGACAGCACGTCATTTTCGACATTTGATTGATAATTTTCTAAAGATCTATCAAATTAGTTTGTTTGAAAGTTAGTTTAGGCGCTAAAAGATATTATATTAATATTTAAATGTTATGAGAACTATGTGAAGTGTTGGGAGTCCATTTTCGGTGATCGGGTTATCTGCCCATAATGTGTGCACAAAAGTGCGTTGTTGAAGGCTGCAACTTGGAATACGATGTGGTTTGCAGCTTTTCATTCTACAAGTGAGTTGTTTACGTTGTTTATTTAACTATTTCCCGTATCTATTTAATTATTTACTATTTCCCATTATCGTCATTTATTGTGATGCGATTTGACCTCGAAAGATTGGCTTTTGTATAAATTTAGGTCTGAGCTATGATATGCTGGCTATGTTTATTACCTACTTCTTATCAGTCCATAGTGTTTATGAACAGTGGGATATTCATCCGCTTAACTATTTAACTCCACTTAATTAGTTGTAAAAATGTTATGCCAGTCTGGATATTAAATTGATTTCTAATTAATAACATTATATTTACGTAACGTTAATGATTGGCGGGAAAACCAATTTACATAATTATTAATGTTAGTTTTAACTCGATTTCTCAATAGTATAGTGGCACTAATTGTGAATGTTTAAATTATGTGCTGTTAATGCAGTCTTTCATGTAAATTTGAACATTTTATTGTAATAAGTAATATAATCAAACATATGGTAACTTTGGGGAGGTGTTTATAATTTATAATTTGAAATAGTGTTTAGTACTTTTAAAACTGTTTGGTGTCTATATTTGTACATTATTATTTTTTGTAACTATTTATTTGTGTACATGAATGAACAACAGTATACTGAACTGAATGACAATCTTAACCAAATACACGCAGCCAATTACAGGTCCTCACTTATAGATTTCTCATAAAAGTAAATAATACCTCTTACAATTACAATAATATTGGTATATACAAACTATGCTACTTAAAATGTATTATGGAAATAATAAATATTTATATTAGGGTAATGACATATATATTTTAATCAATAATATTATTTTTTTAAAAAGAATAAGTTACCTACAACACACTTAATTCACTTTTTGCTAGTGTTAAATAGGTCAACAGTTACTCTCTTGGATAGTTTGTTGAATCTATTACACTCCCGGATAAATATAATAAGGGTTTGAACCTGAGTTGTTTTTGTGGGTTACCAGGATTATTATTTTTGGTAGTAATGAACAAAGTTAGTGTTAATTCTAAATGTGGGTCTATTAATTTTGTCAATTTTGTCTATGAAGTTAACCTTTCACTTTTACACACTCAGACTCAATAAATAAAACCTAAGTAGTTGTAGAAATGTAGCAGTAAGGTGTCCATAGCTGAAAGAATTTTTAAAATAGTTCCATTAGTTTAGGAGCCCATTTAATGTCAGTAAATAATTTGAAATCCATATGTTTAATGAATACAACAGTTTATTTGTAAATAATAGAAATTAATCATTAGAAACTATCAATGTCGACAAAAAACCAAATGGTGTAAAGGACCATTGATAAATTACATCACATGAATTTTGTGATACAAAGATTTAGTTACACAAACATCCATTAAGGTTTAATGATGCCTTTAAGCCCTAATGAATGTCAAATATGTGTGGGTTAAACTAGTGACAATTTAAATCGATGTTTCTACAACTAGCTGGAAGTCTATAACTCATACAAATTAACATGTCATCTGGGGACCTATTCTGTTCATCCTTGAATCATATCTATGAAGATTATATCTGCAACTAACAGTGTCAGGCCCTAACTCTGTTGCATTATAAATTTATTACAAATTAATTGATAAATCTGCTTTGAGTTGTATTAGCCTTTCAAATATAAAAAAAAATTAGCTTTGGTAAAAATTGATAGAAATATTAAAAAGGCTTTCAGGTGTCATGTCCTCGTACAATTAGTAAATATTGGTCTAACATCATAATTCAGTATACCACCTACCCCTAATTTTATATCCTAAGTTCTTAGTATGTCAGTGATCATTAAACTTTTGTCTGTATCCGCAGTGCCAACATATCTTCGGATAATGATGGGAAACGGCAGGAGTGGATCGAAGGAGCCATGCACGAGGAGAGTGAGTGCCTCTGGAGGCACGTCAGCCTGCAGCTGTGCGGGTAAACAACCAAAATTTGATTTTCTTATACAATATCACATCACATTGCTTAGTAAGCTGATTGATTTTTTTTTAAATTTATCGCAATCCTTTACAAACATATTGCAATTTTAAAAATTTATACATTGTGAATTGCCTGAATATGCTCTGTAGTAGCTTGAAAGATTTGTGATTCCTCTTAGATTTTGGGTAGTTTATTGGTTAGAGCGGTCGCCAGGATTGCTTAAGGTCATGGGTTCGAGTCCCATCTCAGAATGCCAGGGACAGAACCTGGAGTTATTAAGTATTTTTAATAATCATATAATTTTTATAAAGTTAATTTTTTTTTTAAATAATTATGGTTTGAAAGATACAAGAAATATAATGAAAATTTACCTAAACCTTTCAAAAGATTGCAGATAGTATTGTGTTTGACAGTTTGCAATAGCTTTCAAAGACATTTGCTTTTAACACACGCCCTAGACTGTTCAAATTAATTGGTGGATTTGCTATATCGTCCCTTAGCTTACAACACCGCATAAGTAATTTTTACCAACTTTACAGAAGCCGAAAAAACCGCGTATTTAAAAAGTGGAATTTTTCTGTTGTTAGTCTTTAAACACCACAGTTATCGATTAAGAAATATTTATTTATTATTTTTATTATTTATCGTCTCCTATAAAGTTGGTAAAAATGTCTTATGCGGTGTTGTTAGCTAAGGGACGATATCCTCCATACAATCTCTATCACTTGTCGAATAGTTTTTAAAGTAAAGTCAAAATTAGACAAATAACCATCAGATTTCAAATTGAGTAGCTAATGCCCTCTTATTACGGAGTGCTTGAAACAAGGAAGGTACCAAAGCATCCAAAACCAAGACAACTTAGAAATGTACATTTTTATCTTTGAAAAAACACAATCAAGTCAAATCAGATTGCTATAGACTTTAAAGTTGGACAATTATGCCCTGGGACCAACTGCTTAACATGCCTTCCGAAGCACGGAGTAGCTCGAGTTATATATTTGGTCACTCGTCCTGTGATCGACCCTTACTAAAGTTGCTTAGGGCGGCGGTACTTGTCCACTAAGCCACCGCTTCTCATTGGACCATGTCGTCTCCTACAGGTACCACTTTGAGTTGGACAACCAGGGTCTCTGGATCGACTCACCAATGTTGCCAGAGCTGTTGACGTTACAAGAGCCGCCGCCGACGCATGTTCAGACCGAAATGGATAAACAAAGTAAGTACATATGTTTATTATTTAAGTATAAAATTAATATTGTGTTCAGTTTTGTACAAGGTTCATTTGTTTACAACTGCACCTTCTGACATTTTCTATAATAATACATAAACGAAAGCATATTTTACAAATAGAAGTACACGGGGGTACAAAAGTGTACATTATTAGATTGTACCTATTAAGAGGTACAAGCGCTATGTTTCATTGACTGTATAAAATAATAATTTTAAATTTGGTGAGAGTAGAATGTAGTTTTAATGTTCTTCTATTGAATTGTACAAGGGTACACAATTGTACTTTATTGAATTAATAAGGTACACTTTTTTAAAAACTACTAAATACACAAATTTTGCTATTTCTCGGGCTCTTTGATAAACGGGTGAAGTTTCAATAGTAGATATAATAGTAGGTAGTTGGATGACAGTTACTTATTTATTTCACGGTGACGTCATGATAGAATATGGCCGAATTGTAAAGGAACGCTCTGGTTGCAGGCGGCGGGAGCGGTTACCAAAGCCTATTCGAAAAATTCGTTGAAGATGGCCCAATACCAAAAGGTACTTTACTTCTTTTGTACCCTAAAATTTTGATACGAGTTGAATTGTTGTACCCCCGAGATGTTGAAAGTGTACCTTATTGAGAATAATTATATTGTTAAATATGGATATGCGATATCTTTTTGTACCCTTCAATTGTGGTACAAAAGTACATTCACATAATATACATTTGATTCTTGACTTTACAATACGTCTATACTTTAATAGTCTTTGATAAATAATAAACCCTTAATGATGTTTTGACAACGGGGGTGGCTGTCGTGTTTGAATTTGTCGCTAGAGGCGCTGGCGTAGGATGAGGTCTTCATAATATCATGCTATTCTTAAATGCTAGGGTTCGGGATAAAAAAAATTAATGCTAATTGAAATTTATAATCAGACTGTATTTGTTTAACACAATAAAATTTAAAGAAAAATTAATCCAACAACAAAGTACACTTCACAACACTATTAGATCGTCCGGATAATTTTCACTTCACTAATATTCGCTTTCGATCGATGTAGTCTTCACATCACTATGAAACTTCACTGAAAGAATGCCGGGTCGGGTAGACATTGTCTACTAGACAGAATGTTCTAGGTTAGGTCGGCTTCGGTCCTATCAGTGTATTCTAGTGAATGAGCCCCTCACTCGCGAAGTGCCTCGTTTGAGTTCCTCATTTCGACAAAATGAGGGAGTACTCGTTTTTCAATTTTGAACCACCTCATTAAGTTTCGAATGAAAAGGCGACTCGATACTTACTCAATATATTCAAGATTGAGGGAATAGGTTAAGTTTTATGAGTTTTTTGGAACGATTCAGGTTTGTTTATGTGTTTCTTCGCAAATACGTATTTAATATTTTATAGATAAATGATATTAATTAGTCTAAGTAAAAATCAAAGTTAATAAAAATGTATCGGTTTTATTTAGAAATATATTTATATGATTCGAAATATAAATGATTGATCGATTTTAAAAATGGAACATTTGACACTATTGCAAATAAGTTGCGTGTTGTGGTCATTCTGTTAAATAATAATCTAATAAAGTTTATTTCTTAGAATCTAAAGACAAAATATGTTTTGTTTAGCATTAGCGACTCCCTTCCTCATTTTGTACCAGACGGCAACGTTGCGCGCGCCTCGCTACGTACTCATTCACTGCTACTATAACATTACCTATCCTCACCTCAAATGAGGGGTAACTCGCGAGCCCCTCACGAGGGAAAATGAGGTACTCACTCATCCTCATTAAAAAAGAGTGAGTAACACAACGCTAGTATTCCAGGCAAAAAGTTCTAGACCAGCTACCCGTCTCTTTCTTCTCCAGTTTCCCATTCTCGTCGACCCAGTGTATAACTATATGACACACGTAGTTTCGACAGTGTTAGCGCGATTCATTGGCGCATAACGCCATCTAGTAATGTTAATACGAACCGCGCCTCTGCACTCCGTAATAATACTTTCAAATAATCAAATTTGGGATTATTTTGGGGTACCTGACATTCATTATAGTTATTTAAGATACGAGTGCGGAAAGTAAGGTTTTACCTTTTACGCTCAAGTTTCTTACAACATTTTTCAATGCTTTTTGCGAGGAAATAAAACAAATATATAGGTTAATAAAACTAAGTATGTATTAAAGGTAAAAATTATTTGTTAAAATTAAACGTGATATTTGAACATGTTTTCGTGTCATACATTTTTATTTGAAAATATTCGTTCTAGGCTTCTTGAAACTTTTGCCTCTAAAGTTTGACATATTTTCATCAATTTTTTTTAAATTTCTTTGGTGCTCGGCCAAGAAAAATTAAAAAAATACTTTTAAGCACGTGTACAGTAAAAGATTTCAGTGCATTTTTATTTAACGCGTGTTTAAAGACTCACTTTCGGTGTTTACAATGGATTAAAAAAATAGCGCTTTATGAGCAACTGCATTGAAAAAGCAATTATGAGTTACCGGTTAATGAATGTCAGGGCTTGAAAAACGAACCTAAGAGTAAGTGAACGAAACGGTAGACGAGGATTGGGCAATTATCAGTATCAATAATTTGAAGTAATTACGTTTAACACAGGCTAGTATGTATGAAAGGAGTAATGAAAGGGATTGAGGCGAAAGATGGTCTTCTGCCTATCCTGCAAGGGTTACGGCGTGAAGATTTAGATAAGATATATAAAAACTCAGTTATACAGGTAATAAAATATACTATACCGTGATACCAAAGTCTAGTGAGCCGTAAACTAGGATAGAAAATATAAATATTTATATTAATTGCGTATGAATAGGGTATCCAAAAAACATGGAAAATGTAATACAATGAGGAAGAATAAAAAAAAAGAAAGCACTAAAAAGCGCCTCCGCGAGATGGCGACTTTAGCAAAAGTTGATTTTTGCAGGAAACGAATGGACCATAGACAGTAATTTCCGTTCCTTTTAACTAACATATTAAAAAACTGAAATTTGCAAAGTTCGAAACTTAGACATCAATACAAATACGAAAAAGTGCAAATAGAATATGAGTTGTTTATTGAGTTTTGAAAACTAATTTACTTTTATAGGTTGTCGTGGTGAAATCAAGAGAGTACCGTAGCGACATCTAGTTTGATTTCGGGAACTAATGATTTTTTTAAATACTTTCTCATTATCGCCTATTTAGCCATTAACATTAGTATGCAGGTGTTGTAAAAAGAATAATCCACTCTATGCACAGATCAGTCTACTCTAAGTTAACATTCAGTTTCCATAGTCTAAGAATTCTTGCACAGATTAAAGGAACCTTCAGTAAGTCAGTTACATAACACTTTTTAGAATCCAGTAAGAGGTGTATTCTTTATGTATTCCTTTCAATCCCTTACAAAGGTATATCGATTTATATTTACGTAACGATTACAAGCGTGATCACTTTCGGAACGAATTGAATGAGCCAGAAAAATAATAAAAAAAATGGTAATATTTGTGTCTTAGTCGTTCAAAAAAGTGCCGCGTTCGCAATCGTTATTAAATGCCAAATAGTTGTAGATGGAAGTTTGGGAATATCTTGCAGATTTAAAATTGAAAAAGATTGCGATAGAATTTAAATTTTAAAATTTGCCAATTAGGCGTCTATTCTTAGGAACAATGCCATGTACTTTGGTGACAAGAAAAACGCCATTCATACATTAATAATGATATTCTTAATTTTATGCATATTGGAATTATTAAAGCCAAGTGTTACACAGATATTACTGTTTCTTTCTGAAGGGGATTGCTACTTTAAATAGTACATAAATCGCTAAACCTTTTTAAGGAATGGCGGTAGATGTTGGTATGTCTTATAGTTTCATATTCCTTATACATCGTCAGCAGTTACATCCCCATTGCGGGGCCTCAGGCCTTCCTTATGGGTGGTTAAACGAAGATATGCCATGACCTACCATGCGGGCTCAATGCGGATTGGAGGGTATTAACGACTGCAATTGCAGCCGGGACCGACTGCTTAAAATGCCTTTCGTAGCACGAAGGATCTAATAATTTTTCGGTCACCCATCCCGTGACCGATTCTCGCGAAAGTTGCTTAACAGCAACGATCGCGGGCCGCGGCACTCGTCCACTACACCAACGAGCTTGTTAAACAACCGCCATGTTACTTTCTTATTGGCCGTTCTAAGTCAGTGAGAAAGCAACACTGCGGTTGCGTACGCAGTTGCGTCACACCCTGTATATTTTGTCGTACAGTCATGGACATTATTAAGATGGAACACAATTACAACGCTGAACCGACCAAGCAAGAACCGGAGAGTGTATCCAGACTCAACGTGAGACAACTGGTCGACACCCTAGGATATCTGTGAGTGTGCCCCTTTTAGCTCTGCCCTGCTGCGATTCTGAAGAAATCCAAACCTGAATGACGTTTCGTGGCATAAGTGAAGTGAGTTTCGAAATTATATTGGCATAGAATATCTGAGTCATGTATAGTCGTCAATTTTGTTTTGCATTTTTATACAAAAAATGGAATCGATAGAATTTTTCCACTAAATGTCGTGAATTAAGACACATGAGTGAATTCGAACTCGGGTGTGGATTTTTTCAGAATCGCCCTGCTGTTGGTTTTTAAAAGATTATTGGTGAATTTGCAATTTTAGAAAGAAAATAAAAAGTATTTTAAAATTATCACCATTAATCATTTTACTTTCCCACTACAGGGACTTTAGGCCTCAAAAGATAAAAAAAAAACAAAATCATTTATTCACGCCATCGTTTATTAAATATACGGCGAGAGACCTTGTACTGAGAAGAACCGGCAAGAAACTCGGCAAGGGATACAAGGGAAGACCTCATGGATGGTTAAGGAGGATAGGCCGTGACCCTCCACGGTGGCCAATGCGAATTGGAGGGTATTAACGACTGCAAATGCAAGGATCAACGGTTTAACGTGCCCTCCGAAGAATAGCTCCAGATTATAATTTTTGGTTACCCATCCCTTGACCGACAATTGCGAAGGTTGCTTAGCAACAACCATCACGGGCCGTGGCGCTTAACCACTATGTCACCGAGCTACTGTTATATGATTATATTAAACTACTATCAAATTTATTTTTCTCCAAAAAGTTCTGTCAGGAAAAGGAAAATCATGTTTTTATTCATTAACTCAAATTGTCCTGCGAAAACAATCAGTCACGTGACATTTCGAGCAATGACGTCACATCTCACAAACATGAGTACTTACACTCCGAACAAAGACGTGGACGTTTAGTATATTGAAATGTGACGTCACACGATCCTTCGTAATGGCCAACCGCGTTTCTTTTCTTGTAAGATATAAAATAAACCATAAGCTAATTTTGATAAATAAAAGACAACCAAAAACAATTCATAGTTATTGTTTACAAGTTACCATTTCCATCATATTCCATAATTTATTGTTACATATAACTGTCAAGTAATAAACGATTTATCTATCTATCTTTCCATATACAAAGTAGCCAAATGTAGATTCACGACGCGTCATATAAACTGGATTCTGTTGTAACATTGTGTTAGTATTATAATTAACTTCTTGACTTCATCGGGGGCAGATCTTTGAAGAATCTACAGCGTAAACAGCTATGGGTGGTGAAAGTTGAGACAGAGAAGAGTGAAGCATCCATTACACAGTCGGAACAGGTCATCACCAAAATGCAGGATCCCAAGCAGATCATAGAGGTAATACTGTCTATGTTAAACATCTATACTAATATTAGTATCTCAGGAACTAGAGTTTCGAATTGCAAAATTATTTTTGTGTGGATTGTTCCATTTATCGAGGAAAGCTATAGGTTATTAACATCACGCTATGACTAATAGGAGTGGAGCAGCATTGATAAATGTAGCAAAAGTTGGAGTACCTATCGAGCAAAGTCACTTGCCGAAAGCTAGTCTATAATATATAAGGCTTATTAATAATATATATAAGAAAAAGTATGGGGCCTAATATTGAACCGTGTGGTACTGCCGAAGTAACTGCTCCTGTAAAATTTATTTTATTTTATTTTTTTATTTACCAAGAGTTAGTAGTAGTTCAAGTAATTCGTCAATATTGTTTGTGGTCTATAAATTGTGCTAAAAACTAGTCTAGTTGCTCATATAATGTGGCAGAATATACAGAATGCCTTGATGTTAACTAAAAATGATAATTGTGTTTACGAAGTGCTAGTATATAAAGCGAATTTAAAATCCGCCTTTTATTCTCTAACTCATATTTTTGTTGCTTTTTTATAGAGATAGTTCTGTTTATTTATAAATTACAAGTAAAGTTATAGGGAATATACCACGAAACCGTTGCAGGATTATACGTAAAAATCTTCACTATATATTTTGATGTAAAGTGCATTATAATCCCTTTTAAAGATCTCAGCGTACAGACAGCGGGAGGAGACTTTATTTTATACTATGTCTAGATTTGTCACAATTTGTCCACAGATCATACCGCAGACCTCAACTGCTGATACAACATTACCACAAGGCGAAGTCCTACAAATAATGGACGATGGGAATATACCAGATAATTTCATATACGAAATAGCTCAAGAACAAGAGATCTCTATGGACGAAGTTAAAGAGATACCATCCTCCGATAATAGGGAATGGACGGTCAATATAATACCCGATGAATCCAAACCCAAGTACGCTTACATAAAGCATTGCAACACTGGCAAGAAGAAGCGTCACTTTACAGCGGAAATGAACGAGATAACATTACAAGGTGACTTCGAGAACTATTACATATTGCCAGATGTAGATCCGTCGGTCGGTGTTGAAATTACAACGAGCTATGAACCGGAGAATTATATTGTCGAGGAGTACCAGCATTTGGTTTTGGAGGAGAGGCCGAGAAAACGGTCTAAAGATACACCGGAATCGTCGAAGAAAACTAAGAAGAAAAGGTTCTCTGCTGTTCGGGAACAGGTGAAGCAGATACAGCTGAGAAACGAGGAACAGGACTGGGTTATCGAGAATAATATTGCTTACGAGCAAGACGCTGAAGAGTATGAAGACCCTAAGAAGGCTAGAGTGAGACGGAAAAATAAAAAGTACCTAGGGTATGATTTTGTGACTTAATTATTTTTGTGTTCGATTATCGGGAAGTAGTAATTTAGTGTTGTTTTCGTCTCTTAATTCAAATATCTTATTACATTCACACTGGCGTTAAAGAAAAAGGATTTGATACATTTATTATGGCTATGAATTGATTAATTTAAATTATCAATAAATTATAATTCAATAAAATCTTTACTTCCATGATTCTGAGATATAAGTAAGATATAATAGTTTGTTTTGATTTTAAAAAAATATCCTCCAGTTTAAACGTCCATACAATGTCTCGCCAATGAGCATTATGCATCATCAAAATTGTTTTCACACTGTCTTACGCAAATTATTCATTAAAAATGTAAATAAGTAATTAATATAGATAAGCAAAAGTATGGGTCCTAATATTGATCCTTGTGGCACTCTCAAAGTAATTAATTCTCGTGTAAATTTTGCTTCATCTTTATGATTTCCAGCAGAAACATAAGTCTATTAGATTTAGTTCGTTTTGGTTATGATAAAAGAATTTAATGGGTTACAAAGTCAAATTTTAATCTTAAAAAAATCACAAGTTTTTTTTTCTCTTGCAGTGCCATTAATAAACAAGGTTTAGCGTCAGAGTAAATTTACGCTAAAATTTCAGTTCTAGTATTAGTCCAAATTCATATTATACAGACAATAAGCAAACCTACTACCTTCTAGAAGCAAATATTACTCACGTAGCACCTCGCACTAGGTAAACCTTTACCAAGTCTCTGTTTAATAATATGAATTTTGACTAATACTAAGTGCAGTCTCAGCGTAAATTTACTCCAGAGCTAAACCTTATTTATTAATAACACTGTTAAAGTGTATGTTTGTTTACACAAAAATCTGCTTTATGAATTTATGCAGTATTATATCTTTAAATTGGCTTGTTGTCTGTGCTTAAACTACTTCTGTTGCTAATCTGGTCTGTTCTATTCTAAATTCATAAATGTTCAATTACCATTGGTGTGTAATGTAATAAGATTGAGTTTTAGATCAGCGATATATCAATAGTACTTACTTTATACACAGATTTTATAACTGCAAGAGTTAATAGTGAATCGTTTCACTTTAAGTGTCACTTAGTTCATATTTTCTTCATAATTGTGTTCGTATAGTCGAAGAATAATAAAATTATATAATGCATTCTTACATATATTCTTTGTCTTTATTTTGGTATTATTATTTTCGGCGGATTTTTAAATGACGTAGAAAGTTCTCACTGATTATTTTATAACCAGAAGTCGGAATTAGGTAGAGTTATTTATGTACTTGCATCGAAATGTTGATATTAATATGGACCTTCCCGGGATTTCTTTATTTCTTTATTTCTGTCTTTCATTGATGTAAGTTTGGCAACGTCATGCGTGCGGTAGTTTAAATTGTGTAAAAGTAAATAACTTTTTATTTAAAAAATCACGGGATTTTTTCTGCTCTTTAAAATTAATCTCGGGATTTGAGGCATATCCACTTTATTCTTTCGCTGTATGAAATCAGTGTAAGTACATGAATAACTCTACATAATTCCGACAACTGTTTATAACTCTCATGTCGAAATAGAGTCAAATTCGATGAGGAAGTTAATACATAAATTTCTAAAAAAAAATTTCTTTCAACAACTTAATGAATTACTTCTATTGAAAATTCAAAATTGTAATTTCAAGTGCACAAATTTTTAGTATCGTTAATCTTATATTATACTAATATAATATTGTAAAGATTTGATTGTGTGTTTGCGCAATGCTCCTAAATAATATACGCATGCGAAGACGCTGGAAAACAGTAAACAATATTTTTAAATAAACATATTCATAAAAAATTTAATATGTAAACAAACTGTAGGTACATCGACAATCATCGGTCATTAACCTCCAAGTACAAGTAGGGTGACCATAAGTAGCAGTGACATATTTTTTATTTATCTGCAATGGAAGTTGTTAAAAACAATTACATGGTTAACAGTAACAAAGACACTCAAAATTTGTGCACTGTATTATAAAATAAAAAAAATTGAATTTATATTTTTTTTTTTATGTGACTACTTATTATTTTTAATAAAATGGACGTATTACTGCAACTTTCGCCAGATTGCAGCACTGGCACATGCAGTTACAAGTTTTTATGTAAACGTCATTCACAAAGTAGTGAGCGCAGATTAAAGCATATAGTATCTTTTAAATGCAACCGTGAAACTATGATATGTACCAAATTTCACACCCAGTCAGTGTCCACAAGAGCTGCTGTGTACCGACCGCACACAAATCCACATGTACAAACGGCAGTAACTCAGAAAATCACACTCTAAACATTTTGTTAGTGTCCACAAGAGCTGCTGTGTACCGTCCGCACACAAATCCACATGTACAAACGGCAGTAACTCAGAAAATCATACTCTAGACATTTTGTTAGATCTTACAGTACCAACCACAGTCTGAGTGTGGAAGCTGCTAGATATCATAGTTTCACGGTTATAGTAATGGACTTCCGCAAAACAATGCCTGATTCTTTTAAATATCTTTAGAATATATAATAAGAAAGATATTTTATCCAATAATAAATCATTGCTGCGTATTCGTATGTAAGAAGGGAAAGAATAATTGCAAAAGACAAAATTATCGATAGTTTGTTTCTTTGCTTGCTACATAAGCTAGTGCTGCCATCTGCGCTGAGCTTTGCGTGAAATATGCTGTTGATTCGGTTTTTGAACAAACAAGATTTGGACGAAAAATACTGTTTTAACAAATCACATTAGTGTTAATATATTGTCCCGGAATCATTTGAGAAATGAAGATTCTATGTTTTTTACAGCATAGACTGTTAACCGAGAACTCTGCAAAGTCTTAAAACTCGTCAACGGTTCGAAAATCAACGGCTGGAGACCATGTACTCGGAAGAACCGTCAAGAAACACTGCGAAAGCTGTTTTATTATTATTTTTCTCTGTTTTTATTTCAAATAAACGACAGATCTATGTTTTATATGGGACAGTGCTAGTTATGTGTGGGACAGCTTTAAAGTCTAAATCTTTGTGTTTGCCAATTTTAAAAATATATAAATCTATATAAGTATATTATAACTTCCCTTTCGTATGTTTATCTGCAACAATCTTAGCTGTAAATATATACAAAATTGCATTTGTGTTTTATATAATCTTCTTATCTTGAAGTTCTCATCGTAACCAACCATTTAATTAGCTATATTTGTCTTTATTGTTTATATAGTATGAACTGATCATAATTATTAAAAGTTCCCGCGGGAACATATAAAATTTGGAAATTTCATTTCGGAGTTCCCATGGGAACCTACTAATTTGAGTCGCAGTTGGACTTGGTGTTATATGTGCTTAGATATTGAAGGTTCCTCGAGACCTTATTTTCTACTTTTAACTTGAAGTTCCCATGTGAACCAAACAAATAACTGACTGAGGTGGCTTAGTATGATTTAAACGTAAATAATGAAAATTACTATGAAAACCTGTCGGATTGAGTTATAGAACTTTATTCAGGGCGTAGCTGAGTTTGTATAAAAAAAATGATAATAATGACAATACCTATACGATGACGATGTCCCTCAAAACACATTTGATAACGAAATAGGAAATAAGGTATAACCACAAAGATGCAGAGATACTGCTGAAAAGTTTTACGAAATACACCTTTAGAATCGAACTTGAAACATGTAGTGATATCGAAAGATCCCTTTGCGTTCAATATAAAAAAACAGGCAGAGCTTTTTTAATGACAAAGACATCTCGCATATGATTCCAAAATGCCGTCATTTCGGTTGTTCCTAAATTCAAAACTTGAAAAATGACACTTGATGTTTTTACAATAAAAAATTTTACAAATTTTACATACTTGATTTATCTGCAATATACAAAGGATGTTTAATTCAAGTCTTAAAATTAGATATACCTACTCACTCCTATTTCTATAAACATGGTATGTTCAGTTTTATTTTGGAATAGCCGATTTGGCGAAGCACTCCTTTATTTAAGATTTCTTTCAAACTTGAAATTAAATACGAACTATTTAATATTAAAACATATGCCAATAAAATAATTTGTTTAAACGCAATTGATTATGAAAAGATATAAAATGTAATTTCGAGGACTATAATAAAATATTTAAACTCCACAAGCGCCACTCGAGATTATGCTCGTCTCTTTCACTTACGCAAAATACACGGAATTATGGGAAATAAACTATGATTTATTTAACTGTCTTAAATGTTTATTAGTTCGGATATGTTGACAGATTATCGGTTTGTGAAAAACAATTTTTTGCAACAGATTTTTAGCCTTAAGATTTTGATCGTTATCCTTGGAACACTGATGTGCCGTTGTACGTACAACGTTATCGTAGATAGAGCTACGGAAGTTTTTACCAAAAAAAGACTGAGTTCTGAACATAGAGCCAGAAGGATTTCAATCACGAAGCAATTGAATAGATTTCGGTCTGATAAATATCCAGGGTCATGAGTTTAACTCTCTAGCCATAAGATACTAAGGTCACCTGAGGGAAATGCGTCCATGGGGTAAATGCAGCTATTTGAAATAACTGACAAACTAATCCGACTACAGCAACTCCAGCCATCTAGATGCTGTAGTTGCTGTAGTCGGATTAGCCATCTAGATGGCTGGAGTTGCTGTAGTCGGATTAGTTTGTCAGTTATTTCAAATAGCTGCATTTACCCCATGGACGATTCCCCTCAGGTGACCATACATCTAATCGAATATTATGACGATATTTGGTCTCATTTTACTATTTCGACATGTCTTTTGCTCTTATATATTATAAATTTGTTTGGGATAAGTTACCAAGTTATTAACACTGTACTCAAATCTGTATTTATCATATCTTTCTTATTCGTACATGTCAAAGTAGTAAAATGACACGATATAGTGCTTTAACATCGCTAAAATGTCGTATAGGCCATGGGAACTTAAATAACGCATGCCCATTGTGCTTTATCTCGTGTTTGATTTGTCCAAGATAAAATACAACTGTTAAAAATATAATCTAAAATTCTAAGATGACGTAATATTAACAAAAAAATTGTGTAAACTAAACAGGTCACGTGATTTATCTACACATGTCGGAGCAATCGCAAAGATCGCGCTCTGATTCACGTAGCGGTTATTGAAATCGAAATGATCTCCCTAACACTAATAATTGTATAAATAATTAAATATATTTTCGATCAGTGCACAGTAAATTATAGACACTATTTCTGTCTCTTTCGCGGAAGATTCTAAAATAAAAATATGTCTATAAACACGTTACTACTTATGGTCACCCTACTTGAACTTGAAGCTGGAGGTTAATGACGGACCTGTGTCTACATACCTACAGTTTGCATATTATGTCACGAAATTTTAAAACATATTTATATAGAAAGAAAGAAAATTATTTATATCATAATATGTAATATTATAATCAATACACATATATATTTAATATAATTATTTCTAATAAGTCAAGAAAAAATCCGAAAGCAGCTCACAATCTCAAGGTTCTGGCCTGTTGTAAGATTTTTTTAAATTAAAATTAAAGCTCCCAATACTATAGCAACTTTTTATCGGTGGAGGTATGTTATTCTAACGCAGCTGTTCTATGTTTTGGACAAATCACACGTGAATTATTTAAACGCAAATATTTTTTCATATCTTAAAAATTCATTGCACTAATTGAAACATTCTGTGCCTGTATAAAGTTACGTTATTACTTCCCGATATTTATAATTTTAGTAATGAGTAATGTATATTTTACTCCAGTCCTAATTAGACTACACGGTAATTATTTGCAAGAGAGCAATTTAATAAGTTTTCTTTGTCAATAAACGCACCTCTTATAAGAGCGTTAGGGTTGAGATTCTTCTAGTTGCTAGGGTTGTCAAAAACATAGCCATAACCTATTAAATACAAGAACCGAGCATTAAAAAAGATAGAATAGCGTTGGAATATGCATTAAATATATTATAGTATGGTTGGCAACCCTATATAACCATTTTATTTGCGAGAACGAGAACAATAGCGGATGTACAGGAGCAAGCCACAGAATTCTAGAGGTGATAGATGACAAGCTATCTGTCTTGCTCTATCACGCACAGAACAGGTCATTGCCTTCTGTGTACAGAGAGAGGGAATTATAGGAAGCCCTGATCTTTCTTCTCTAATCGAGAAGCTGCAGGATGATAATCTCAATTTATATCTTTGAGAGTATTTTTTAAATTTGTTTTACTTTGGGCCTCGCAAGACTCATTTATACAAAATGTATAAATAGATATTATGGTTTTTATTATAAATTATATAAAGCACAGAGAAACATGCACTTTACTAATTAAGTTTGAAATAGTGTTTTTTTTTCGTGTTAAATATATATTTATGTGTAATTATTATTAAATCAGAATGCCTTAGCAAAATGTTTGTTTTAATAACCCTGTATAATAAGTAACATCACCCTTTTTTGTGATAAAGATCTATCAATATTATAAATTAAGCGTCGGTACTGTGATAAAACACAGTAGCGACATTAGCTGAGACAGGGTCCTAATTGGCCTTCGCACAATTTAACCACAGTTATTGTCTGTCTTTTGTTTTTTTTTGTTATTGTAATGTTATGGTGTGAATGTCAATAAAAATATTCTTATTCTTAAATGTGAAAGTTTATTTGTTTAGATGTTTGTCCGACAATCACGCCGAAACTACTGAACGGATTTTGATGAAATTTGGTATACAGATAGGGTATTAGCCGACTTAGACTTTTTATACCACTAAAAATTTCCCTAGGGATCACGCTGGCGAAAGCTAGTTGATAATAATATAAATCAATTAAAAGGGCGTCTAAATCGAAACCTTAAGGTGACAGCACACTTTTTTATTTTTTTTTTATTTCAGTATGGACTTGTTCCGTTATACACGGAAATTTTGCCAACATCCCGTAGTGAGAGAGACACGTGATTTAAGAGACTGAACGATAGTTATAATTAAATATGTACGGTAATTAATCAATTCTTTCTTGAGATTGTTCTTTCTCTACTAAAAAAAAAAAACTACAATAATTTAGCACACTTATACAGCAGAGTTCCAATCCAGCAATTAACTTGTCATCTAAATTTGTTATACAATCTGACGTCAGTACAAAAACTTTAAATAAACAGTTGCAATTGGCTTTTTCATATTGAAATTATATCATATATAAGATTTAATGCTCCAAATGGAAAATAAATCGCTGGTGTGCCTTGACCTTTAGAGTTACAAATCCAACTACATATGAGATATCGTTACATCATTATCCCTTTTTATAAATAGTATATATTATTAAATGAGTTATCATAATTAGGCCATTAATCTCCCCACTACTGGGATACACATTTTCTCTTATACCATGACCTATCCACGCGGGCGTAGTGCGGATTACTGGGTGTTATCGACTGCAAATGCAGCCGGGACCGACGGCTGAACGTATCTTCCGAAGCAGTTGTTCTAGTTAATAATTTTTCGGTCACCCATCCCGTAACCGACCTTTGCGAAAGTTGCTTAACAACACCGAGCTTTTGCAGTTTGCGGGTAAATGATAAGAAAAGATAGTATTTCATGATTTATTTCAGGCACACGTTGATACAACAAAGGTACATTCACTGATTATTTCAATAAAAAAGACGTTTTATACAAATTAACTATTTACAAATGCTTTAATTAATGTACTAAATTTCCTGGTTGACTGGTAGAGAATGCCTCTTTGGCATTAAGTCCGCCATTTGTCTATTTCACTAGGCAATTAAGGTTAAATAAAATAAAATAAAAAATATTTACACAATATAAACATCCCATCGAGCCTGGGAACTAATTGTCTAACTTTAAAATCTATCGCTTCAGTTTGAAAGATGTATAGCCATTGCTTGTTTCTGATGTGGCACATCTGTTTTATAATCTTTGTCGACCACTCTGTGGCAACGTAATCTATGATATTTTGTATTTTGTAAGTGGCACTTCAAACATCAGATAGTCTGAAAGTAAACTCATAACTGTGAACACGATTATTTATTTTACCGATCCTTCGTATAAATAGAGTCAGATAGTAAACTCATCAATAAGTTAAATATCAACCTAAATACTAATAAATAAACCACATAACATTTCAGTAAAGTGGTGACCCAATACAATAATCGGTAAACTGAAGACAGTTGAAAAAAAGTATTTGTATGATGCAGCAATGGTTGTGCAACACCTTTCAAACTGAAAGCGATTGCAATAGATTTAAAATTAGACAATCAGGGGGCCGAATTCCGTTTCTACATTGACATCAATTTAGTTGACATTGGTTTCAATCAAAACTCACTCAATATACAGAGCTTTGTTGAATGCATTCGCTTCAATCATATATATTGAACGTACACATAATATAACTGTAGCATCATCATTACGAAGATCGTTTGATTTAGTTTCTTTTATTTTAATTGCTAGCTACTCGATTACTTAATTACTCGATTGTAGAGAGAGCATGATCATCGATACTTCTAATTTTATTAGAATGGTGACACTGACTTTGACAGTTCGTTAACAAAAAGCAAATTGCCGCCATTTTAGCACACATTCTGTTTCCGATCGCCGAGGAGTAAAGACATCCGACGACATCACGCTCATCTCGTTATATTTTCGTATGAAAAGTGATAAAATGGAACAAATCCACGTTGGTATACACGCGTGCAGTGTTATTTTAAAGATAGTCCCCCGATATGGACCATCTATTTGGGCTTCGTAATAGCACCGTTCTGACTACCCGCCGTTATAACAATATATACTAATATTATAAATGCGAAAGTAACTCTGTCTGTTACTTAATCACGCCTAAACCACTGAACCAATTTGCATGAAATTTGGTATGGACATATTTTAATACCCAAGAAAGGGCATAGGCTACTTTTTACCGCGGGAAAATGACGCGTCTCCAAGGGAAAATAATCTAAATATATATAACTTAAAGGTGACTGACTGACATAGTGATCTATCAACGCACAGCCCAAACCACTGGACGGATCGGGCTGAAATTTGGCATGCAGGTAGATGTTATGTAGTAGGCGTCCGCTAAGAAAGGATTTTGATCAATTCTACCCCCAAGGGGATAAAATAGGGGATGAAATTTTGTATGAAACTTTGTCAATTTTAAACCGATCGCGCTGAGATTTTGTATAAATAAGGCTACTATGACGTAGGCATTCTCTAAAAAAGGATTTTGATTGATTCCGCCCCTAAGGGGATAAGCTAAGAAGATAAGATTTTTTTTCAGGTATTTTACACGATATAATGAATAAATATTCGTTAGAAATGCTGCTCAAAGTAACTTTACCACGCGGATAAAGTCGCGGGCAAAAACTAGTACAATATAAACGTCAAGTGCATTTTGATTGAATCCAATGTCAACAAAATCGAAGCCAATGCAAATTACGCGGTATTGATCTAGAATCCACATATGAAGTGGGTCCAGGCAGCAACAGTGGATGTTACGAGCCAACTAGCTCGTCAAAGAAAAGTCGGTCACCCATCCCATGATGGCCTTTTCGGACGTTGCTTAACATTGCGATTCTCGATAAAAGATGGATGATGACCTAATAATCAGCAGCGGTATTGGCCAAGTAATCGCGACGTCCAATGTTCGAAGCCTGCTTGTTTTGCACCGCCTCCAATTTGGGACATTCTGAAAGGGAAAAAAAACAGAAATTTCAACTGGGATGATTATTAATTCATTTTTATAGCAGATTTGATAATTTTTTTTCTGCTATTGTCCAAAATACTATTTATTATCTATTGAAATACTATTACCTATAATAAAAAATTTACGCTTATTACATTTATAATGTTGCTTGAATTTATTATGAAAGAACATATAGTTTATACGAAATCAGTTAATACTGAAAGCGAAGCGAAGCGCGTGACGTCACGCCCCTCTAACTCATATCAGAATTTAAGAGAACTCAACCTTGTGCATACATAGAACGATATTCGTTTCAGAGTGCCGTGACGTCACAGCTTGAAATTGAATTGTTATTTAGATATATTTAATGTATATTTTTAAAATGAAAATATATAAAAAAGAGTTGTCTACACCCCTAATAAGGGGCCATCCATAAATTACGTCACACGTTAAGGGGGAGGGAGGGGGCTCAACAAAGTGTGACATTGTGTGACAAGGGGGTGAGAGGGTCCTAAATTTCGTGACGTCACATTTCAAAATTTGTTCTAATCTGAGTGTTAAAACACGAACTTTAAACTATTACTTTACAAAAACCTTGCTAAATATGTGACATCACGCTAGGAAGGGGGAGTCTTACAAATGTGACCAGCTGTGACTAGATCGGGGGGAGGGGCAGAAAAATCATGAAAATCGTGTGACGTAATTTATGGATGACCCCTAAGTGACATCATTGTCACTTATAAAGGGTGTAGACAACTTTTTTTTTTATTTGCAGATACCGCGATTCGGTAAAAATCTAAACCCGAACTCGAATCCACTCAGGTGTCTGAATCCACTTTAAAAAGCGGCATCCGCTCAATCTTGAATTGCTCATAACATTTCGTGTCATAAGTGAAGTGAGTTTCGAAATGACATAGAAATAGAACATCAGAGGCACGTATATAGAATCAATTTTGTTTTATACTTTTATATTTTAAAAAAAATTACATTAATAGAATTTCTACGCTAAATGACGGACACATGAGTGAATTCGAATTCGGGTCTGGATTTTTTCCAAATCGCTGGGCAGGAACGTGAAACACCAAAATATCTCCTATGTGAATGTGGACCGGCCTACTATGACTTTGGCGGCGAGTCATGAAAGATCTTATAGGCTAGACCCGCATTTAGGGAGGGGGGGTAGTTGCCCCGGGTTAGGGGGGCTCCAAAATCATCATTATTATAGTACTTTTTTTACAATAAAAAAAGAACGACATTTACAAATCTCTTCATACACATTATAAGCTACGATGAGACATATGCTTAGAAATCTTTAAATAAAATAAGGGTATACGAAGGGCGTCATACGAAGTCTATGCCCCGGTTTAAAAAGAATCGTTAATCCGGCCCTGTCATAGGTCGTATTGACAGGGCCGTATTACAGTTATAAGGAATTGAATAGTCCCTTAAAAGTAAATAATAATTCAGATAAGATTATTAACACGCGTAAACGAGTCATAATACACTCCACATACCTGTGATCCTATGCCCGAGTCCCCCGCAGTAGGAGCAGCCCTGCCCGTCGGGCTGCGGCACGTCGGGCTCCCCTATCATGTCCAGTAAGAACGAGGGCACCTATACATAATTCAATACATGTATATTCACTCTTTAAAAATTAAGATGTGATTAATTTGTAACGTAAAGCAATTTTTTACCAGTATTAGCAAGAAAAAGTAAAAATCTGTTGACCCCCTGACACTATTTATAACAAAAAGTAAGAATCTGCTAACCCCCCTCATAGTCATTATAACTAAAAGTAAGAATCTGCTGACCCCCTCACAGTATATATAACAAAAAGTTTGCTGACCCCTCAGAGTCTATATAACAAAAAGTAAGAAATTGCTGACCCATCACAATCTATATAACAGAAACTAAGAATCTGCTGACCCCCTCACAGTCTATATAACCAAAAAGTAAGAATCTGCTGACCCCTCAGTCTATATAACCAAAAGTAAGAATCTGCTGACCCCCTCACAGTCTATACTACAAAAAGTAAGAATCTGCTGACCCCCCTCACAGTTTTTTTGTTATATATAATAACAAAAAATAAGAATCTGCTGACCCCTCAGTCTATATAACCAAAAATAAGAATCTGCTGACCCCCTCACAGTATATATAACAAAAAATACGAATTTGCTGACCCCCTCACAATCTGAGTGAACAAAATTTTATATATGCCGTTTCTATCAACTTACTTTAAAGAGACATATACATATATGTTTTCCTGTATATTATAAGAGTAGTGGAGAACATTAAAACTTTCTCGAGATTTAAAAAAAATTTACGGTAAATTAAATTTTGTGACTTAGGGGCCGTCCATTAATCACGTGAGGCTCGAAAGGGGAGGAGGGATGTAGTAATATATCACGTGTTTTTATTTTTTCAGCGCGATTAATAAACCGAAAAGCGACATCAAAAATTAAGATGTTTTGTTTTTTTTTAAATACACGTGATTTGGTTGAAGGAGGGAGGGGGTAGTCTTAAACCTTAATATGTATCACCAAGGGGGAAGGGGGGCGGGTCAAAAATGTTGAAAATAACATCACGTGATTAATGCGTCCATTCAAAAAAAAAATAGTCCAGTAAAAAAAAATATTTTTTCCTAAGGGGCCCCTTAGGAAAAAATATTTTTTTTTGACTGAAACTTTTACCTTCTGTCCAGCTTCCCGCAGCAAGTGTGCCAGGTCCCTCAGCACACTAGTGTCCGCGGCGCGACCCAGTAGGGTGGTAGCGACCCCCTCGCCCCCCGCGCGCCCCGTACGACCGATACGGTGGACGTAGTTCTCTATGTCCTCGGGCATATCGTAGTTGATGACGTGCTGAATGTTCGCGAAATCGAGACCTGCTCGCGTGAAGGAGAGACGTGACTTCGCGATTACAAAAGTTAAGCGACGTGCGATGTGGTCAGGCATGGGATGGGTGACCGATTTTTTTTAAATTCTCTCTGTGTGCTGCTGAAGGCGCGTTAAGTGGCTGGTGAAGGTTGTTAAGTCGTTGACACCCAGAAATTCAGTACTGCTATTGACTAATATGGAAGGGAAGGATATAATAACAACATTAAAATGAACCAAGATCGAGTCGGAGTCACGTGCTGAGATGTTCAGTAAAAAAATATAACATTAAAGACTCGTTGACGGTTTTTCCGTAACCCTTTCTGTCAGTTGCACAAACGTCCATTAAGGTTTAATGACGCCCTTAAGCTCTAATGAATGTCAAATTTGTATGGGTAATGCCACTTTAAAATAATGACAATTTTAATGGACGTTTGTGCAACTGCCTGTTTATCAAAGGAAATCAAAGGAGATTGCCTTTATCTTTACCATATTGCGTCACAAGTACACTATTACCAAAAATATATGTATCTACAACTATATTTTTAACCGCATTAAAAAATGATAATAAATAATTGACAATTCGCCATTTCCATAAAAAAAATGCATATCCGAAAAAGAAAGAAAGAAGAGTAGCTCGGTGGCGTAGTGGATAAGCGCCGCGGCCCGCGATCGTAGTCGTTAAGCAACTTTCGCAAGGGTCAGTCACGGGATGGGTGACCAAAAATTATTATCTCGAGCTACTCCGTGCTTCGGAAGGCACGTTAAGCCGTTGGTCCCGGCTGCATTTGCAGTCGTTAATACCCTCCAATCCGCATTGGGCCAGCGTGGAGGGTCACGGCCCATCCTCCTTAACCATCCATAAGGAAGGCCTGAGCCCCTGCAGAGGGGACGTAAAAGGGCTGGTGATGTGATGTGATATCCGAAAAATAACGTTCCGAATACAATACGGGTGTATGTAGACATTAGACGAAAATAAATACATATATGTATTTTTTTTTATAGTATTCAATAAACTACTACCGATAATAACACGCTTATTTAAAAAAAAAAACGCTTATTTTATACTTGTCACGTGACTGCAAACAGCGCGTGACGTCACAGTCCTCTAAGGAAAATGTCAAATTTGACTTTGACATTGACACACATAGAACTCACGTTATTAATGTTTATATTAGTTTCAGAGAGCTGGGACGCGAGACCTTCGCCATCTTTCATTCATTACATTTTACATGTAAAAATTAATTTATTTACTTGAAATTGGCAGAATTGTGCGAAATGTGCACATGACATTATTTAAAAAAAGAAAAAGAGCTGTGACGTCACATCGACGCCATGACAGAGGTTAGCGTTTTAGCGGGAAAATTTTCCCGCTTTGGAAAGACAATGACAGTTGTGTGATATCACGCAATAAGTAATTAATAAGTAATCTGTATTGTGAAAATTCACTTCTTTAAAGCTTAAACGCATTTCTATATATATAATAAATGGAGAAATAATTACAGTAATTAAATATCAATTAAATATATATGTGCGGCTCTTTAAAAAATGCGGTCAAATTATAAAAAAATCTTAATAATATAAGATGCATAATTAAATAAAAACTAGATCTGTTGAGAGCAAATTTCAATAAACGCAAGTTGGTATGAATTCCCATACAAAAAAGGTATTCTCTTTAAAAAATGTTTCACTATAAAATAAAATATATTCAAGATAAACAGACAGATGTAGAGAAGACACTCAAGTAATGATATAAAGAGCCCCCCCATTTTAACCGACTTGAAAAAAGTTGTTAATGCCACCGGTATGTACTCTTAACTTTTCCCTTTAAAACTAATGCAGAACCGTATATCTATGTATACTGTATATTTTGAATTAAATTTTATTAATTAGAAAATTGATTTAACAGCCATTTTCACTAACCTAAAACAAGGCATAGCTTAACTAGGAAACGCCTTATATTATCTAAGCAGATTAGTTTAATTTTAAATTAATATTTCTTTAATTTATCCCTTGACATATTTATGACCTATCATACACGCAAACGCCTAGCGCAAGGCGCTATATAACGATATATCATAACTTTAGGCATTGCTTAATTTCGCTAGGAGGTTCCTAGTAAATGGTGAAATGCATTTTTATCTTAGGCGATTCCTAAATATTAAGGCGACTCCGAAGTTTTTTGAAAACAGGCATAAGTCTTAATAATTAGGAAAATAAAATAAATATCTCACCCTTGCTGGCGACATCTGTGGCCACCAGTACATCCTTCTCCCCTCTCCTGAACGCTTCCACTGCCCTCGATCTCTCCTCCTGATCCTTCCCACCGTGAATGGCGACTGCTTCCACACCTAACATACATACGAGGGTCAAACTGAAAGTTCTTAGAACTGGCCACTTATAAACAATATAATAAAAAAATAATTCTAAAATTTGAAAATATAACTCTTTGCCAATATTACTGAGTATATATTTCATTCATTTGTCATTTGTTTTACGATTTGGCGGCAAATTGAAAATTGTCTGTGTCACGTCATCATGGATTTAACACGAGAAAATTTTCGTGCAATGATTTTTTATGACTTTCGATGTCATTTAAGTCAACAAGAAAGTTATGATAGACTACGATTGGCCTTTCACGATGAAGCCCCATCTCGTGCGACTGTTTACAACTGGTTTAATGAGTTTAAACGTGGTCGCACTAATCTCACTGATGATTTACGTGAGGGACGGCCTTCTACGGCGACGACTGAAGATAACATCTGTGTTGTGCGGCGTATGATAGAGACTGACAAAAGAGTGACCTATCAACAGATTCGGACAAGCTTAGGCATCGGTATGAGTCAAGTGCACAAAATCCTCCACGAACATTTAGCGGTCAGGAAGCTTTGCGCCCGGTGGATACCTCATAATTTGACTGAGGCTCAAAAACTCCATCGTGTGGATTGGTGTCGTAAAATGATTGAAAGATTTAACGGAGGTGACTCAAATGCTGTGTTCGACATACTAACAGGTGACGAAAGCTGGATTTACTGTTATGATCCTAAAACCAAAAGACAATCTGCTCAGTGGGTGTTTCCTTTCGAGGAGTTGCCAACTAAAGTGAAGAGAGATCGAAGTGCGGGAAAGAAAATGGTGGCCTCGTTCTTTGGAAGGATAGGTCATTTTGCAACAATTGTGTTAGAGGATCAAGAAACAGTTTCTGCAGAATGGTACACTACCAATTGTTTGCCACTTGTCTTGGAAAAAGTTCGAGAGAAACGACCTCGCAGTAGGATCCTCCTTCACCACGACAACGCCTCGTCGCACACCGCCAAGCGAACGATCGACTATTTGGCGACATCAAACGTTGAATTACTGGGTCACCCGCCGTATAGCCCCGACCTCGCGCCTTGTGATTTTTATTTATTTCCAAAAATTAAAGAAAAACTTAAAGGAAAGCGGTTTATGAATGCTGAAGAAGCGGTGGCTGCGTATCGCGATGCCATTGAAGAGACCCCTAAGGACGAGTGGGCAAAGTGCTTTTCCCAGTGGTTCCATCGCATGCAGCGGTGTATTGACGTGAATGGACAATATTTTGAAAAGATATAATAAAACTAATAACTGGCTAATGTAATCAGTTTTTGATTTTCTAAGAACTTTCAGTTTGACCCTCGTAGTAATATTAACAAAGGTGGCAATGTATTTTTAGTCAGTCCAAATCTTATTTCAAAGTCGGTTCAAAGTCAAAGTTGAAGACGGTCACGGTCCACTACACCAGATGTTATTTGACCACACACTACGAGATGGTACAACGTCGGTCCACCTTGAGATGACACAGTCACTCATTATTTTCAGTACAGTATTGTAAACGAAAAATTGATCAAATTTAGAGGTAATTTACACATTTATCAAGCGGGGCAATACTGAATTCACAGATGAGTTTGTGGCAGTGTACTTTGTTTTGTTCCCTAATGAGTTTGTGGGTTGGAGTGTATTTTGTTTGGATTCCCCTAATGAGTTTTTAGCAGTGCACTTTGTTTTGCTCCCTAATGAGTTTGTAGTAGTGTACTTTGTTTTGCCTTCCCTAATGAGTGGCAGTGTACTTTGTTTGCTTTCTAATGAGTGTGTGGCAGTGTACTTTGTCCTCTCCCTAATGAGTTTGTGGCGGTGTATTTGTTTTGCTCCCTAATGAGTGTGTGGCTTGGAGTGTACTTTGTTTGGCCTTCCCCTAGTGAGTATATGGCGGTATACTTTGTTTTGCTTTCTAATGAGTGTGTGGCAGTGTACTTTGTTTTGTCCCCTCCCTAATGAGTTTATATCAGTGTATTTTGTTTTGTTCCCTAATGAGTTTGTGGCTTGGAGTCTACTTTGTTTAGCCTTCCTTTAATGATTTTGTAGCAGTGCATTTTGTTTTGTCCCCTCCCTAATGAGTGTGTAGCAGTGTACTTTGTTTTGCCCCTCAATGAGTGTGTGGCAGTGTACTTTATTTTGTCTCCTCCCTAATGAGTTTGTGGCAGTGTACTCTATTTTGTCCTCCTTTAATGAGTTTGTAGTTGTGTATTTTGTTTTGCTCCCCAATGAGTGTATGGCTGTGTACTTTGTTTTGCTCCCTAATGAATGTGTGGCAGTGTACTTTGTTTTGCTCCCCAATGAGTGTGTGGTAGTGTACTTTGTTTTGCTCCCCAACGAGTGTGTGGCAGTGTACGTCGTATTGCACTGACCCTTGAGCAGCAGGTACTCGTGTATGGCGTCCACGTCCTGCTTGCGCTCGGCGAACACGAGTACGGGCGGCGCGGTCTTCTGCAGGCACTGCAGCAGGTGCACCGTGCGCGCCTCCGCCTGCACCGGCTCCAGCTCCTGGCGCACGTTCAGCGACGCGGCGCCCGCGCGGCCCACGTTCACGGTCACCGGTTTCACCAGGGCCGATCTTTATTTATTTATTTATTTAATCTTAATTGCCTTAATGCCAAAGAGGCATTCTCTACCAGTCAACCGGTAAATTTAGTACATTACTTAAAGCGGCGATTGGCGACAATACGCTATTGATATCTCTGCATAAGAACTATATCTAAATATACATAAAATACAAACAATAATAAACATACATATACATACATAAATAAATGCATATATATATCTATAACACATCGTACGAAAAAGGTGTCAGACCAAGAAAACTTGTTTGAAGCATAATAGAAGTTGCGAGCTGCTGTCTTGAATGCAAATTTGTTAGGAGCACTCCGGACGTTCAAAGGCAGAGCATTCCAAAGACGGATGGCGGTTAGAGTGAAGGAATGAGATACAAAACGGAATGATGAGAAGGGGTTTGGAGTACCAGTCTGATACTAGAACGAAGATTTTTCAGGTGAGAGGCACCGAGGATTTCAAACCGCTTTACGAATGTCTTTATTCAAGTAAGCTTGTTACAAGCAATTTTTTTCCCCTACCAAACGTTCAGGACGTCTTTTAGCTGACAAGAAAAATGAGCGAAACGCATTTACCAGATGCTCTAGTTTTGATTCACTCGTTTTAAATCGCCTACTTTTGTATCGTCCGATTATTTTTCCCCTACCGCGCGTTTAACGAGTCTTTTAGCTGACAGGAAGAACAAGCGAAGCAAACTTAACAGGAGCTCTATTTATACGACCTAAGTCGCGTTCGACTTCTAAGTAGAATGATGCATTGATCGATTGAATTTTAATATATTCTTAATGTGATTTCTTGTTGTTTTGTTTTGAGCTGTATTTAATGTGATAAGTTATATTCAATGTAATTTGTGATTATTTTACTGAAGTGAATTTATTTCCGTAATAATAATATTTTTCTTAAAGTAGTTGCAATTATTTAATTGTTGATTGATTTATTTTTATTGTTCCATAATTTTAATATATTTAATGTATTTTTAGATAAAATTAAGCCAATATTATGTATTCGAGTGATATAATATTTGGCTGCTTAGATTACATAATGCCAACCGTTACTTTTGTTTCAGACACATTTTACTGGGTTATAGTCTGTCTTATTTTAATAATATAATTTATTGAATTCATGTATATGATTGTAACCTGTTATGTGTTGTAATTAGTGTTGCCAGGTCCAATTTATTATTAATCGGGACAGCGCGTGTAATTAATCGGGATTTGGGGTTGTAAATCGCAACAGACAAAAACAAGTATTAGTACTAGTTTGGTAGCTTTTTTGCTTTCAGACATAGATAAATATAGTTAGGGACTTTCAAAAATGGATTTGACAGTATGAAAAAAAAAATTTTTTTTTATAAAAATACTTGATTTTTCGGGACATTTAGTGTCCCGATTAGGTACAAATCGGGACGCGTCCCCGGACCCCTGAAAATCGGGACGTCCCGCGTAAATCGGGACACCTGGCAACACTAGTTGTAATCTTATTAATATTATAAATGTGAAAGTTTCTTTGTTTGGATGTTTAGATGTTTGGATGTTAGTCGGTCAATCACGCCGAAACTACTGAACGGATTTTGATGAAATTTGGTATACAGATAGGGTGTTAGCTGACTTAGATAATAGGATACTTTTTATCCCACTAAACATTTCCCTAGGGTCCACGCGGGCGAAGCCGCTGGCGAAAGCTAGTATTAACATAAATCACACTACTAGATGGCTTCGTGCGTATAGGTATACATCGGGGGACATACATATATACCGGAGAGGCCGAGGCCGACTTAGAAAGTTCTAGGTAGGGTTGCCAGATCCAGGCTGATCAATTCATGGACATTTCTGGGGTCACGAACGGAATCATAGATTTGGTATTTGGTCCGAGAGTAAATAAATAGGAATTACTTAGAACTATCGGTAAAAATACTTTTTTGGAAAGTTCTTTTTGATAAGTTTTCTTAATGTATTAAATACAAAAAAATAATATAATTCAACTTTTGTTAGTCACTTTTTAAAACTTAACTATTTGCTTGAATACTTTGTGAAAATGAAGTATCATTTTTATTCTGCGACATCAAAGTAAAATTACTGAACACGGTACAACACTCAAAATTCCGGGACAATTCCGGAAATCCCGGCCATCTGGTAACCCTAGTTCTAGGTCCTAACCTAGAACGTTCTGGATGTGGTCTCGGTCCCTATAAAAACGCGCTGGACTACCCTTCCCGGCGTTCTTTCAGCAACTAGGGAACTGAATACTAGAGCGATCCAAAGCGAAACAAGAAGCGACGCCTAGTTAAGTGATTTTCAAATAGCAAAAGAAAAATACATAAAAGGAATGGATAAGGCAAGAACAGAGTGCTGGAAGGAGTTTTGCGGGAAGCAGACAAGAGAAACCATGTGGGAAGGAATATATAGAGTCATTGCAAAAACAAAAAAAAACGGCGAAGATCAACTTATGATTAAGGATGGAAAAACCTGCAACCCGGAGGAGTCGGCTCAAATTATAGCGGAATGCTTCTACCCGGTAGATTCCGAAGACGGGGAAAATGACGTCCACAAAGAGGTTAGAGTCAGGGCGGCCAAAGCAATGGAGGGGAGTAACAATGATTGCTACGACCCCCCCTTTGTGGAAGCGGAGCTGATTCATGCCTCGGAGTCATTTGACCGGAAAAAGGCACCGGGTGGAGATGGATTCACCGCTGATATATGCGCAGCAACAATAAGAGCCGACACCACAGTAGCCCTCGCCATCTTCAATAAAGGGTTAGAACTAACCCATTTTCCTTCCCCATGGAAAACCGCAACCGTAATAACTTTGAGAAAACCCGGCAAAGCGAACTATAACCAACCCAAATCTTACAGACCCATAGGCCTACTACCTGTACTAGGAAAAACATATGAAAAAATGCTGGTAAAAAGACTTAAATGGCACATATTACCGAAAATAAACCAAAGACAATACGGATTTATGCCGCAGAGGAGTACTGAGGACTCCCTCTATGACATGATCCAGCGTGTTAGGAGCAATCTGGAAGGGAAGGAGATTGTCGCCTTGATATCGCTGGACATAGAGGGGGCCTTCGACAATGCCTGGTGGCCCAGAATCCATTGTCAGCTGCAAAAATTGAACTGTCCGATAAACCTGCGAAGGCTTGTAGCTAGTTATCTGAGCGATAGATCCGTCGCGGTGAGATATGCGGGAGAGGAGATAAATAGAAAAACGAATAAAGGATGTGTACAAGGGTCCATAGGCGGACCCTTTTTCTGGAACATTATACTAGACCCTCTCCTGAATATCCTCACCGAAAGCGGAATCTACAGTCAAGCCTTCGCGGATGACGTAGTCCTAATTGTGTCCGCGAAAACCTCCAGAGAAGTGGAAGTAATAGCAAACGATGCCCTAGCCAAAGTAAGAGAATGGGGCGTGTCCAATAAACTTAATTTTGCACCACAAAAAACCAAAGCACTTATTATAACTAAAAAGCTAAAATATGACACGCCCCAATTAGTTATGGGAGGGATAAAAATAGATATCGAAAAAGAAATAAAAATCCTGGGGGTGATCGTGGACAGAAAATTAACTTTTAACTCACACATCAGTTACATATGCCGAAAGGCGATTAATATATATAAGGGGCTAACAACATCGGCTAGACTGACATGGGGTCTTAACCAAGAAATAATCAGAACGATATACGTGGCGGTCATTGAACCCATTATACTGTATTCGGCTAGCGTCTGGGGCAAGGAAGCAGAGAAAATCAGAAGTAAAAAAGCGCTTAACGCACTACAACGGGGGTTCGCACAAAAAATCGCGAAAACTTATAGGACTGTTTCCTTAAATTCCGCATTAATATTGTCGGGGCTGCTTCCGCTGGATCTTCGGATTCAAGAAGCATCCCGGCTTTATGAAGCAAAGCGCGGGAAACCCCAGGCAATATTAAGAGGCAGGAAAATAGAGGAGAGGGTATCCTTGCTCGAATCGAACCACCCCGGCAGCCTCAGCATGATAGAGTATGAATGCTTGGAGAACGCAGAAGAGGATGGCAAACTAGCAGAAGGTCTTGTGAAGATCTATACAGATGGTAGCAAACTCGAGGGAAAAGTCGGTGCAGCCCTGACCTGTTGGAAAGGTGCTGTTGAGATCGCATCCCGGAAGTTTAAGCTGGAGCCATACTGTACAGTCTTCCAAGCCGAGCTGTATGCCATCCTCCAAGCGACAGAATGCATGATGAGTAAAGAATGGAAGGAGGTGGCGGTGCTTAGCGATTCGAGATCCGCCCTACAGTCGCTGCAAGATCCAGACTCGTCGCACCCAATCACGAAAGCGATACAAGGCAACCTGGTCCAACTTAGGGAACTAGACCGCAAGGTCTCCCTATTTTTGGATCAGGGCCCACGTCGGCGTGATTGGGAACGAGAGAGCGGATGAGCTGGCGAAGGGGGCGGCTCTCGGATTAAAATGCAAGTCGCACTACGACGGCTGTCCCATCTCTTTTGTCAAAAGGCATTTACGCAGTTTGACAAAAGTAGAATGGGACAGACGCTATAGGAGCGAAAGCGCCGCGACCACGACGAAGGCCTTTTTCCCCAGTGGAGAATTGGCCTTCGGCGTCGTACGTAAGATGAAGATTGATAGATGGGCTGCACAGTTGCTAACGGGGCATGGAGGGTTTAGATCCTACCTCCATGAATACAAATGCAGGGATACCCCATACTGCGAATGCGACCCCCAAACAAAACAAGATATATTCCATATCCTGCTAGAATGCCCAATACTTAGTATAAACAGGCACACTTTACAAAGCAGCATCAACACACAACTTAGTAGGCCAAACCTAGAAAAAATTATTGCAAATATAGAAGAAAGAGACGAGTTTCTCAAGTATGCTTGTAAAATGGTAGAGAATATTGTAAAAAGAAACAAGGATTGAATAGAAATTGTATAAGTAGACGCAAATACAGCAAAATGATCTGTGATATTATAATAGTAGTAAGTAACCTGTAACAAAAATAATAAAAATAAAGAATACAAACAAAATTGTAAACTAAAATAAGTAAACATATATATGTATATAACTAGATAAAATGTAACAAGATAAAAGAAAAAATGTAACTAAAAAAAAAGAATAATATAAATAATAGAATAAGAAAAATATGTAATAGAAAATAAGAATATGCTCAAAAGAGGGAAAAAAGTGATCCCCAAGACAACAGACCAACCAGGTCTGTAAAAAAAGAAAAACATAATAACAAGCATAAAAAAAAACAAAAAGAGAAAAATAAGACAGCCTGCTCAAAAGTGGGGGAACATGCTATTAAAAAAAAAAAAAAAAAGTGTTGGGATGTGACCATAGTGATGTGAACGGTGGAGTTAAAATGTGAGTTTTGTTATTGTATTATTTTTATAAACTTATTATGTAAATAAAGTCGCATTGTAAATTCAATTGGCATTAAGACTTTTATCCCGAACCCGAACTAAGCATATATGTCGGAGAATATTTCCATCATCTTTACGAAGATCGTTTCATTTAGTTTCTTTTTTTTAATTACTAGTTACTCGATTGTAGAGAGGGCGTGGTCATCGATACTTTTAATTTTATTAGAATCAAAACACTGACGTTGACAGTTCGTAAACGAAAAGCAAGTTGCCGCCATTTTGGGACACATTCTGTTTCCGATCGCCGAGGAGTCAAGACATCCGACGACATCACGCTCATCTCGTTATATTTTCGAATGAAAAGTGATGAAATGTAAGAAATCCACGTTGGTATACACGCCTGCAGTGTTATTTTAAAGATAGTCCTCCGATATGGACCATCTATTTGGGCTTCGTAATAGCCCCTTATGACTATCCACTGACATATATAATCCCTTAAAATTGTTATACCGTTCGAAAATCAGTAGCGTTAACTAATAAACACTGTTCGACTTATACTTATCGAGTTGGGTTGTGTTGAGATCGCACATCATTTGTGTTGTTTTCGATTGTTATTATGTTGATCGCAAATCATAGTTTGTTACGTTTTTTTGTAATTCTTGAGTTTTGTTGTTACTTGTTATGGTTGGCTAAAATAGCGAATGCTATTATTACTTTCATAATGAGTAAACATAATTGCGTCTAGCGAACCGAATACGAGAGCGCATACAAGCGATAACTAGTGAGGTGAACTATCCTTGCGATCCCATAGTGTTGTGAAATAAGTTTTGTAATTTGAAATTGTTAAATGATGAGTCGCTTTGTGAATTAAATTTGCGTTTATTTTTTTATCCCGAAACCCAAAGTAGAAGTAATAAAGACATAGTTGTATGTTTGTATATATTAACATATTTTTACTTCAGTTAGTTTTTAATATATTTATAATATATGTTACTTTCTTCTTTATGTTTGCGCATATTTAATTTAAGCATACTGCGCATAAGTTTAAGGAGTAGCTCGGTGGCGTAGTGGATAAGCGCCGCGGCCCGCAATCGTAGTCGTTAAGCAACTTTCGCAAGGGTCCGTCACGGGATGGGTGACCGAAAAATTATTATCTCGAGCTACTCCGTACTTCGGAAGGTTACGTGCACGTTAAGCCGTTGGTCCCGGCTGCATTCGCAGTCGTTAATACCCTTCTTTACTTCTCAATAAATTATATAATAGGGAAGATGACAAAGTACAAAAAGAACGGAATTCCAATTATATATTCTACTATATTTGACGAATTGTGCATTCCACAAGGCTATACTAGAAATTTCGTCAGTCCTGTTAGGTCCCAGGTAGATCAGTGGTTAGAGCAGTCGCCTGGATTGCTAAAGGTCACGGATTCGAGTCCCATCTCATAGTGCAAGGGACAGAGTGTATTTTTTAAGCATTTTTCATTAAAATATTTTTCTGTATAGCATTGTTAATGCAAAATTCAATAATTATAAAAAATATAAAAAAAAAAACAGAAATCATAATTTAGCTTGCAACTAGTTTTTTTCATCTTTAGTTCGATGGTTATGGATGGTTAAGGATGAGCCGTGACCTTCCACGCGGGCCAAATGCGGATCGGAGGATATCAACGACTGCAAATGCAGCAGCGACTAACATCTAAACTGATTAGAACGAAATGTTTTATTTTTAAGGTCACCCATCCCGTGCCCGACCATTGCTAAAGTTGCTTAGCGACAACGATTGCGGACCGGAGCGCTGGTCCACTACGTCATTGAGCTACTTTGTAATATTATGTATAAAACTCACCTGGCAAAGTTCTGTATTTTTTTGGGCATGGTGGCACTGAATAATAGAGTCTGTCTCTGTCCCGCAAAGTAAGAGAATATAGTCCTGACGTCCTCCTCGAAGCCCATGTCGATCATACGATCCGCTTCATCCATGCACAAGTAACGACACACGTTCAAACGAACCTGGGACAATGTAATAGTTAATATATGAAACTATACCTACAGAACTGCCTATTTGGCTAGTCGACATTTTTTTTATTTGGTAAATAAATAGTCCATTAATATCTGAGAAATAATGTAGAAGTAACATCATGTATGCGAATAATAGTTTCGGAGATAGTGGAACTGCTGCTGGCCGGCCGGAAAGTTCCCTACAAATTCAAGGCACTAAGTGACGTCACAGTGTTACGGTATCGAAAAACGTATGTGTGTCCGGGCAATCTTTGTGATGTCATTGTTATTTGTGCGTTTATGTTTATAGCTGTTATAATGAAAGGTTTTATGTAAATAATTTAATGCTCTATGTATTTTAGCAAATTAATGTAGTAGGTATATTTTTCCTACCTTTTTTCATGTATTCAAAGCGAAATATTCCACCTACATTTTCAATGAGGAATTATAAAAAAAAAACATTAGTTCCCGAAATCAAACTAGATGTCGCTAAGGTACTTTCTTGATTTCTCCATGACAACCCTACCGGTTTTCTTTCATGTATAAAAGTAAATTAATTTTCAAAACACAATGAACAACTCATATTATATTTGTAATTTTTCGTATTACTATTGATATGTAAGTTTCGAACTTTGCAAATTTCAGTTTTTTATATGTTAGTTAAAAGGAACGGAAATTACTGTCTTTGGTCCATTCGTTTCCTGCAAAAATCAACATTTGCTAGAGTCGCCATCTATTGAGGTGCTCTTTAGTGCTTTCTTTTTTTTAAATACTCCCTCATTGTTGTTGTAAACAATCAAGTGACTTCCATACAGACTACGACATAAATCACCAGTGTGCCAGTAGTTTTTCCTACATCAATTACTTACCATTTTCTTATCCAGCATGTCCATAAGTCTACCAGGCGTGGCGACCATAATGTGGACACCACGTTGTACCACTTCCATACATTCTGATACTGCCACCCCTACAATAACAATATTGGTATAATAAAAAAAAACTCGGTTAGAAAGAGAAGTTGTCCGTAGAGTGACCAACAACTCTGGTAGGAAATGTATGAAAATTTTAAAGTAAAAACTAAAACAAATGTTCTGAAATTTAATATCCTACAAAATCAAAGAATAAAATGTCTTCTACAATAAAAAAGCAATACCGACACTAAATTTAAATATGCTTTCAATTTAAAATTGCATTATTATCACTATAAAAATAAACAATGTTCTGTGGAAAAACGTCTTATCCATATTATTCTTTCTATGAACATTTCTGAAACAATTAAGTTAATCTTACACTCTGATTATTGTAGACAATTTTTTTTTATTCATCAACCTCAGTAGTCTATTCGCTCGCCGGTTTCAAGATGTCACAATCTCTGAGGTCTCGGGTTCGATTCCCGGTCGGTCAACATGTAAAAGGACTTTGTTGTCTCATGTCTGGGTGCTGTGTGCACCTTCGTTGTCTCAGATACTCCATAATACTTTGGCTTTGGCTACTCATCTTGGAATCTGAGTAATGTATTTCTTTTATTTATTTTTTTTCTATTTATTTAATTTGGACAGCAAAACATATTATAATATTTGAAGAACCTTGTTCTTAAAAGGAAATAATAAAAAAAATGGAACCGACTTCAAATTCAAAAAGTGAAAATTTAATTCTTATCCTAGAAGTGGTTAATTTTTTTAAGAAACATGAGGTGGCCTGAGGTTTTCTGTAGTTCATTAAATATTAACCGCCCGCCATCAATGGTAACAAACATCACGCACACTTAATGCAAATTAAAACTTATATGGTTTTCTCATAGATACCATTGCCAGATCTGGACCAAATTAAAATGTGACCACACGGCAAGCACTTTTAAATAAAGAAAGAATCATCAAAATCGGTCCACCTTGTAAAAGTTTTGAGGTAACTAACAAGAACAAAAAAATACAGTCGAATTGAGAACCTCCTCCTTTTTTAAAGTCGATTAAAAATGTATTACAAAATGATTCATATTTATCGACATGATTTGTCCATTTATACATAATATAAAAAGAAGCATAGGTAAGATAACGAAGTTTATCAAAACTTTAAGTCACCGAACACTTGCATAAATTGGATGTATGATTGTAATTAAAAATATACGTTAGTAAAAACCTAAAAATGGGTAAAACCACTATTAGTTAGATATTGAATATTGATTTGTATGTGATAATTAAATTTATTTTATAGTGAGTTATCTTCAATAGTTGAAATGTATTATAAATAATGCAATATAGGTTACTGTAGGTTTGCTTTTTGTTAATATTTTACGTTTATAAAATGTATAAAACTGTTTGTTCCTCAATAAATAATATATATATCTTACCTCCAATAGCGAGACAGCTCCTTATCTCTGGACAGCCAGCAAGTTTTAGGTGTTTAACAAAATGCTGTATTATATCATGCGTTTGTTTTGCTAATTCACGGGAGGGGCATATTATCAGACCGTATGGACCTTCGTTCCTATAAGAAATAACATATGTTTATTATATTTGATGAATCTTGCATCCACTATGAATGAAAAATTTAATGAAAAAAGCTTAAAAAATCCACTCTGTCCCTTGCACTATGAGATGGGACTGGAATCCGTTACCTTTCGCAATCCGGGCGACTGCTCTTACCACTGCTACCCGGGACCTAACAGGACTGACGAATCTTTCAAGCGCTTGTTACTTTTCGCTACTACAGAGCGTATTCTCATCAATGTTCAGGCAATCCAACCAAACAGCCGAAAGATATATACAGCGTGTTTGGTAATACCTGTATAATCCCGAATATGGCACATACGGTGTGATGAATAGAACCCAGAAAAATGATCACTAAGACTGAAACCCAGCACATGACCTAGATATTCAGCTTTTTTTCTTCGAAGTAAAACTGTACGCTGACAACCCTAAAAACAGCTGTTGTGTTGTATTTGGTCATCGACTCCATGTGCCGAACTAGTTTAAAAAATAACAGAAGTTAAATAAATCTAAAGATAAATGCCTAGAATAAATATGCATCTGAGAGGAATTTATTATTTCCAAACAAAGAAAAAGTTAGTAGTAAATGACTTTTAACTATAAAAAAACACTAATCTTGTGATTAACGGTGTTTCAAAAACTATTAATATGAAAACTTCTGTAATAATACAGTCAAAATAAAAAAGAAATTGCAAATACTTTGATTGAAGTTCAATATCTGCACCATTGCTCACATTAGTCTATGCAAGAAGGAGCGAGAGAGACATAAAATCGACGACGATGTGTATTGAGAAACTCGGGTTTCTGATGTGTCAGTAAGGTTCTGTAGATTATTTGCTTTGAAGTTTTGTTATTTTTTTCATAAAGCCGTGTTATTTTCACGAAACAATAAAATACGGACTTATACAATGATATTAATAATCTAAGTATCTCTCTTATTCTTAGTTTAAATGATAATTAAATAAAGGTTAGTTGTAATGGAAAGGTCTAATAATAAATAATATTTCTTGACGCGGAACCCCAAAATCGGTACACTTTTGATTTAGGTACATTGGTGTTCGAGTTGCAATAATAATAACCTATGTAGTTTTGGTCATCGCGTCAGTCGCGTCCGTGACTTTCATCGGCGTACTTGTGAGTTTTCAGAATTTAGAAGGTCAACTTACGTTTTCGTTCTTTCGGGACTTTTGGTTTGTTTTTCATTCTCGTTCTGTTTACCTGTGTATTATGTTTGTGTGCGGTCAGTGCAATGAATTCGTACTCAAATGCCTAATATTACGAGATGATAATGTGTGGCGGTGCTTGTGACGGTAATCTTGCTGCGGCTCGGCGGCGTTATGACGAGCGCCACGTGTCAGGAAGACCTGAAAACCATCGACGTCTTCCTTCTTACCGGTGATTCGCGGCATTTGTGAATTGGTTACATACAACTGGTTCATTCCATAGTGTGCCACAGGTAGGCCGGCCGATCACCTATTCCATCGAGACAGAGGATATGACTTTACGTCGAGAGTAACACGACACGGTCTGTGTCGAGTCGAATGGAGATGTGTGTTTTATGCGGTGGCCGGCATATCGAGACCCTGGACTGATAAAGTGGAGGTGAAGTGTAGGTAATGTTGACAAGTGAAAGCTGAAAGAGTGATTAGAACGCTATAGGTATGTACCTATTTAATCTTAAATTGTTTTAATTACAAGTAAACTCATACGTAGTCGAGTGCGCGCGTCGGCAACATCAAAATGTATTCAAGGAAACGAGAGAGTGAGAGGTAATGAGAGAGAGAGAGAGAGAGAAAGAGCGAGTGCGCCGGGACGGCACGTGTAAGCTTACAGGGTTGTAGCATAGTAATTGAAAACAAATTGTTCAAATATTTGTATGAAAATATCAATTTACATGAAATTGTTTTTTGACCTATCAATTGTGTTCTTTGTGCTAGGTTGTATGGCCATGTTTCGGGATTATACAGGTATTACCAAACACGCTGTATTTACAAATATTTAGACTTTCAATAAAGATGAGAATTTTATTCTAATTAATATATTTTAATTTTGTAATTTTTAGCTGTTGGTCATCCATGTACATGAATAAATAAATATTTCATTAATTTCGATTATCATCTCAGGGTGCCAGAGAGCAAGGAATGCGAAAGGATTGCAAAAAGTCGTGGGTTCGAATCCCATCTCAATATAATAATGGTATAAAGGTGTTAACATTGTACGATATCATCATGTTTCGCCATTTTCTAATAGCATGCAAAAATATATAATACAGCGAGAATAAAAAAATAATAATCATATTACCACATTCTTATTATGAAGAGAATAGGGATGATGACTGGGTAGAAAAAAATGCAATTCTATTTAGTCCGTTAGTCAGATAATAGAAAAATATTAGATACGTATTTTTTTTTACTTCAATTTAACAAGAAATAGCTTAGATAACAGGCATTAAAGTTGAGGAGTGGGGGCTCGCTACGTCACAGTTGAGTAGAAAACGTACCATAACGTGACGTCATGCGTAATTTCAACGCCATGTAACGCCGTAATTTTATGATTACGAAAAAAATAAAAAAATGCTTGTTTAATATTTTTTAACACTCTATCTGACGGACAAACAAACAAAAATTAGTCATCATCCCAACTAGTTAAGTTTCTGTTGAGATTCGATTATGAAATTTATAATTGGCCTACTGGATCGCAAAAATATTGTTGCATTGGTGTTATTATTAAATATATATAGAAGATAAAGCTGATTTGGATTCATCTATTTATAACGATTGCGTACGCTAATGAGTGAGTAGCTCGGTGGCGTAGTGGATAAGCGCCGCAGCCCGCGGTCGTTGTCGTTAAGCAACTTTGGAAGGGTCGGTCACGGGATGGGTGACCGAAAAATTATTATCTCGAGTTACTCCGTGCTTCGAAAGGCACGTTAAGCCGTTGGTCCCGGCTGCATTTGCAGTCGTCAATACCCTCCAATACGCACTGGGCCAGCGTGGAGGGTCATGGCCCATACTCCTTAGCCATCCATAAGGAAGGCCTGAGCCCCTGCAGTGGGGACGTAAAATGGCTGACGATGTACGCTAATGGGAACCATTCTAACCCGCCGTATTCCAGTAGGCAGTAAGTTTTCTACATGGTACAAGAACAGAAGAAGGTATTTTTCCATAATAATATCTAGGAAAGATAATATCATCGTCAAGTATTAATGTCGCGGGAACGCGCGATGCTAACCAGCCTTATTCTGTAACTCATGACAACCGAAATAAATTGCTCACTAAGCTCTGTTGGCAACCGGTCTAAGTGATTTTGACACATTGGAATTGTTTACTTTATACGGTGATTACGACTTTGTTCTGTGATGTATTTGCGCCAACACGCAGATAATGAGGAAGTATTTTAAGAAAAAAAAGCACTAAAACCTCACTAGATGGCAACTCTAGCAAAAGTTGATTTTTGCAGGAAACGAATGGACCAAAGATAGTCATTTCAGTTCTTTTTAACTAACACATAAAAAAAAACTGAAATTTGCAAAGTTCGAAACTCAGATATCAATAAAAATACGAAAAAGTACAAATAGAATATGAGTTGTTTATTGAGTTTTGAAAACTAATTTACTTTTATACATAAAGGAAAACCGGAAGACTGGCCATGGAAAAATCAAGAAAGTACCGTGGCGACATCTAGTTCGATTTCGGGAACTAATGTTTCTTTTTTAAATACTTCCTTATTACGACGCGATGCGAAACGCAGTTATGTGTGGTAGCCCTAAAAAGCCTGCTGGTGACACTGACCTGATGAAGGGCATCTTCGTCTCCTGCTCCTGACAGAACATCAGCAAAGGCAGTGTAAAAACTAAAGTTTTACCGGAACCTGTGAAAGCTATACCGATCATATCGCGACCGCTGAGTACAGCGGGTATACCCTGCACCTGAATGGGGGTGGGTTTCTTTATGCCTTTAGCTTCCAATCCTCTCAGAATACCTTTAGGAAAGAAAGAAATAAAACTTATGAATACACTTGGTGGCGTAGTGGATAAGCGCCGCGGCCCGCGATCGTTGTCGTTAAGCAACTTTCGCAAGGGTCGGTCACGGGATGGGTGACCGAAAAATTATTATCTCGAGCTACTCCGTGCTTCGGAAGGCACTTACGTAAGCCGTTGGTCCCGGCTGCATTTGCAGTCGTTAATACCCTCCAATCCGCATTGGGCCAGCGTGGAGGGTCATGGCCCATCCTGCTTAACCATCCATAAGGAAGGCCTGAGCCCCTGCAGTGGGGACGTAAAAGAGCTGATGATGATGATGATAAAAACACACAAAATTACACATCAAAAACAATCATAGAGTGTATACAAAAGGTGCATTATATCTATTAATTTCATAATGAATTGAGGATTATCGTTTTTTTGCAGATGGCGCCACAGTCGCGAGAAGTCTTTTAAAATTTGTTTACTACGAGATTGAACTGAAATCATACATCATGGTACATAAATAAACCAATTTTATGAAAGAACATGCCCAATACACTACACTAACCTCCGATTTAGCTGTTCTTTCATCCTGCTTAATTTTGCATAACACTTTCTTAGTTCCGTTCTTAAAGCGCTGAAATACACTCACCCGTAATACATAACTGCTTTAATAAATCTCAGATACCCCAAAATGAGAGCATTTATTTAAATAGAATCGCGCGTAGTCCGATAAAGTGTGATAGTTGACATTTTGAAGACCCCGTACTACATTAGCGCCTCTAGCGGCAAATTCAAACGCGTTAGGCCTCATTCCGATATTGAGGCCAAATATCGAAAATCAGTATCGGATTTCAAAATCCTACGATATTACATGCCCTAGTGCTAACTATGAAATACATACGATACAGACGGACCGACAGACAGAAGTCTTAATAGGGTTCCCGTTACCCTTTGGGTACAGAACCCTAATAAAAAGTACTAATAATGGCATATTAATCACATTATATGATTATTAATTTATATATATAACATAAAAATTACCATCTAATTCTAAATCTCTCACCTTTAGGAAACTTCATATGTTGGAATGTCTTGATGGGAGGTGGTACATCATCACCTTCGACCAGTATCCTCAGCTCCCTCCTGACACGCTCGTGTCTCTCCTCAGGCAGCTCCAGAATACAACGAGGTGGTCGCCAAGAAGTCTTTATTGGATCCTCATACTGTATACCTGATAATAGAACCTGACTGGTAGAATCAATCCAATCTTTGTGATTTTTTCTATCGAGCCAATAATTTTTTTTTAAATAAAACATATTTGGTTTTTTGCACAAATGTACATTAAGGTTTAATGACGCCTTTAAGCTCTAATAAATGTCAAGTTTGTATGAGTAATGTCACATTTAACTAATGATGTAAATATATTTTAATGGATGATTGTGCAATTAGCTGTTAGTCAATTAGAATGAAATTGGGCACTATTAACTAGTCTTCAATAATAACAATACCTTTAGCCAATTCCGCTACACCCATTAGCGCTTTGCTCTGCGCCACACTCTCCAAGATATGCTGCTCCTCCCGGGCCTGTCTCTCGGCCGCAGACAATGCTCGAGCTTCCGCAAGCCTCTTCAGTTCACTGTGCTGGTCCAGCAAGGAGACATTGTATCGACGACCCCATTCTTCTTGAGATGCTATGGAATATACATAGGTACTTATTTTTGACTATTTAAACCAAATTTTCTATGGGGTAAATGTAATTGTGAATTATATTAAGTTATTTAAAAAACTCCATCACCTTTGCAGAGCTAGATTACTTACATCATAAACAACAACATTTTTCTTTTAAATTTACTATTAATAACTCTATGTGCATCTAAATATGTAGAAAGTAGATACTTCTCATGGTACTCAAATATATTTTTCTGTTGTTTATGAAAAAACATACAGACTTATATATAGACCACTTTTCACATGCAATGGATTGATTAAAGCAGAAAATTGGAGCCTAACCTAGCCAAGACATAACAGTATCAAGAATCTATGTCAAAAAAATAGATATAACCCATTGGAAAAACCTGAAGGAGATTTAAGTTAAACTAGCTTTTGTCCGCAACTTCATTAGCATGGTAAAGTTACTTTGAGCAGCATTTCAAACTAATATTTATTAGTTTTATGGTGTAAAATACCTGAAATAAAGTTTCATCCCCTATTTGATCCCCTATTGAGTGGAATTTATCAAATACCTTTCTTAGGGGATGCCAACGTCATAGTAGCTGTTTTTCATGCAGTCTCGGCCCGATCGGTTTAAAATTGACAAAGTTTCATACAAACTTTCATCCCCTATTTTATCCCCTTGGGGGTAGAATTGATCAATATGCTTTATTAGCAGATGTCATAACATCTACCTGTATGCCAAATTTCAGCCCAATCCATCCAGTGATATGGGCTGTGCATTGATAGATCACTATGTCAGTCAGTCAGTCACTTTTGAGTTTTATATATTTAGATGATCTAATGTGGAAGATAAAAATCTATATGGATATTGTAAAGCGGTAAAGTTTCTACTTTGTTTGTTTGTAGACGGTTTTTCTTTGGAAATACTTATCCGATCAGGAAAATCCTTTCATCTACAGTAAGCTACATCATACACAGGTAACATAGGCTATAATTTACGCAAACAAAGTCGGGGGAAAACGACTAATTTATAAGCAAACAAATATCAATGCAACAAAAATAAGTTAATTTAAAAATAAAATCTTACTTTCATCATCTGGATCGTTATCACTAGAGCTCTTCGGCTCCGTGGAAGCTTCAGCGGCAAGTTGACCGAGTCTCCCTAGTTTTAGCAATTTTTGTTTTTTTCTTTCTTTCACTGGTATATAAGGTTCGTAATTGTCAACCTCTTCGGTTTCAGATTCTGACGATTTCTCAACGCGTCTGTAGCGCTTCACTGGAGGAGGTGGATCTCCTTCGTTCGTCGACATTGTCTGTTCGAACGTTGTTACGAATGTTACTTAAAATAATTAAAATTACGATATCAAGCGCAAACTAACGAAGACATCGATTTGTTTACTGCACAAATCCACGTTTTGTCAACATTTTTTTTGCTGATGTTTAGAAACTACTATATTTCAAAGTATACTTTATAACTACATGGGAAAGGATCAATTTTTGTTGGCAGTGATAAATGTCAATGTCATTATCTCTTCTATGTTGATGTTTACGACGTTCGGTTGCACGTAGAAAATAATCTTTTTTTTTATATTTATTCTTTTCTATTTCTTAGTATTTTGCCCATTTTTAGTCTTAAATAGACTAAAACTGGGCAAACGATAAATGTAATCAACTTATATTCAAAAAATTGACATTAAAAACAGAACATAGTTATTTACATTTTATTATAAGTATAGGTATTAAAATCTTACATACGTATGGTTGTTAATCTAATAATAACAATAAGTTGGAAATTAACAACAGTTTATTACAGCATATATTTGAGTAATGTATGCTTGAAATTTATATTAAATCCTCATTTTCTCTAATTTATTTTTAAACTATCTTCGTAAACTACACTACTGTCAAACATGTGTGTCATAAAAAATTGTCAAAATATGCAAGTGACACGTAACATCACATAATTAAAATTAATTTTGTGACCTCCAAATGTGTAAATTCGCCAAAATTCGTATCTCCGCCGGGTAATTAAAACACGACAAAATGTCAGACAAAAGTTTCGGTGACCATCTGAACAGAAATATTGTGAAAAATCCACTTTTATCGACGGCAGTGACTGGTCTTTCTATAGAAGATTTGACACATAATGCTGTTTTGCTGCCCGCTGCTCCAAGCCAGGAGCTGATCACGAGTCACGGTGAGTACAAACCTTTATTTTTAACACAAACAGACTTGAAAAACGCCGAATTGACCTTGAAGCCAAAAACAAGTCTAATTTTTTGTATGGCCGAATTCGCGAGTGCGATATTCAATATTTGATATTTTTATTACATTTGACTCTGTAAATCCGTTTATTGTTTACCAAAGTGACTGCTATACAAGTACTTAGTACAACTAGTGACGAAAGTGCATAAAATTGTAGTGTTTTGTGATTAACAGTGAACCGTTATTATGTCGTCGTTTCTTTACAAATCTTATAGAAACACACCATTTCAAAGTGGTTTTTTACCCCGTTTCTGTTATTCCAATCGTTGGAGAAACAGAAACGTTGAAAGTATCATTTACTATCCAATTTTTGTAAGTCAAACCTCTAATAATTAATTTTTCTAGTGTAATTTTTGACATCAAATTTGAGTACACACTCACCATGTTTCCCTTAACTAACACATACAACCAATAGTCCATCGGGTTATACATAATCATTTTCAAATTTTTCAATTAAATTTGGTCCTAGGTCAACTTTAAGATAATCCCATAGAGCTTTTTTTTATAAATGAAATATGAGTTCATAAAGCCTTAAGTTTTTGCAAAAAATGAATGTTGTCTATATTTCTTTATGTATATTTTTGTGTGTAAACAGTATAATTCCAAGCATCATCAGTTTGTTATCTTATTAGAATTGTTATAGTCTGGCTAGGGTTAACCCATGAAGTGCATAATCTAATGAAATTTTTGATAATATCACAGGTATAATATAAATACCAAATTAGGTAGCTTTTAGTATTTCAGTTGCACCATTCGGCTATGCAAATTGTCAGTTGATGTAATATATTATTTACCTTTTAGTCTTATATATTACTAGTGGCCGCCAGCGACTTTGTCTGCGTTTTCCATTATTTCTTTGCTTTGCAGCGTGATTTTATATAGCCTAAAGCCTTCCTTGATAATTTTTTTTCAATTTGAACCAGTAGTTCCTGAGATTAGCGTGTTCAAACAAACAAACAAACAAACTCTTCAGCTTTATAATATTAGTATAGATTTGATTATTTGTGATAGTGCTATTGAGGGTTGGGAGTGATAAATATTGCAATGATTATCTTGATAAATATACCTTGATAACAAACTCTTTTTGGACTTTAGGACTTATTAGGAGAATCTAAGTCAAATATTTTTTTCCAATAGAAAAAATGGACTAGAATGAACCTACGCCTATCTAAATATAAAAAAGTATATATAAGTATATAAAGAAATAGTAAAATACTTTTTATTATTTTATTTTATTTATATTTTCATTTTATTTTGTTTGTATAATGTTTATAATTTAAAACAACAAAAATAAAAGTTCATCAAAACATTAATGCCTTTCTGTATTAAAAAAATTGCTGCCAGCCATGGATAATTATCCAAAAAAATAATTACCTTGATAATTATAAACCATGGTAACAACTATTAAAAAAATGTTTATGTTTAAAATTTTTATAAGTGTGAAATTAAAAATAATAAAGTTAATAAAACATAGTTTACCTTCTATATAATTAAAAAATATATAACTTTGGTTATTAAAAATAACTATATATATAAAATCAGGATTTATTTATTTTTCTTCAAATATTTAATAACTTTATTAGTTTCATCATATGTAGACTGCAAAGATATTTATCTTTAAAGGAAGCTATTATATTCGATTTATAAATTTCAATGAAATCCTTAAATTTTTCCAAGTAAGGCCAATCCCTGGGATTTTATTTTTTTTCACCTGGCAACCCTAACGAGCCTATCTTTATATTTACAAATATTATTAGATTAGCAACACACATCGCTTAGATTTTTATTGCTGACTACAATAAATCAAAAATATGATTCGGAATGATAACTATCATTGATAATTATCTTATTAAATATACTTTGATAATTATAAAACACAAACTATTTTGTGTTTCGCGCTGTGGTTCTTGAGAATTATGAGGAAAACAATATTTTTAACACAAACACTTTATTCTTGAACATAAAAATTGCAGAGTATATATAAATGGCGTCTTTCTGTGTTATTACAAACAACAACTAAACGGCTTCTACGGTGTTACAGATCATAGACAATGTGTTGCCAGCAACATTTTGTACTTCATGACTTGTTATTAAATCATTAAATCATCTTTAAACTACTATTAGATAAGTTTTTCTGATAAAGAAAACTCCCATCTCTGTAAACTTCAACAAAATTTGTTTAATTAAAAAAAAAAGGTTTTAAATGAAACACCCAAAATTTTAATAAATATATCATATTATTGATAAATGTAAAAGTCATTACAAAATATGGCTCGTTTCATACAATCGTTATATTAAAATAAAATACACACTCAAATTAAAATATCCTTAATGTACTACCCGTAATATAGAATTGTGGTTATACTTGTGAAAATGTAAAAAAATATAAAAGAAGTAAAGATGTCATACGATTTGTCATAAATTAATTTTAAGTATAAAGATAAACACAGCAAGAAATACTGTGAAATACTAAACAGTATAATGATAACAATTATTTTATTTGTTTTTTACTTTATTATAAACGTGATAAGTCAGAGGTCGGAATTAGGTAGAGTTATTTATGTACTTGCATCGAAATGTTGATATTAATGTGGACCTTCCCAGGATTTCTTTATTTTTTTTATTTCTTCTTTCTTTCTTTCATTGATGTAAGTTTGGCAACGTCGTGCGTGCAGTAGTATAAATTGTGTAAAAGTAAAAAACTTTTTAATTTAAAAATCACGGGATTTTTTTTCTGCTCTTTAAAATTAATCTCGGGATTTGAGGCATATCCACTTTATTCTTTCGCTGTATGAAATCAGTGTAAGTACATGAATAACTCTACCTAATTCCGACCACTGGGATAAGGTCTAAAATAGTTTGGAGAAAGGATTTTTTAGTAGTAAGGAAGAGATTTACTCATTTACCATATGATATATCACAAACTCAAATGTGCTCTATCTCATTCTAAGGCATTAAAATTACGAAAAAGAGAACTGGCCAAATTGCAATATTTAAAATTGTCTATCCATCACAATCACTTTCAAATGTATAATGCACAGTTCAGAAGGTGATAATTATAAAATTGTGTAATTTTTGTAAGTCACAATGACTTTTCGAACGAATGACGATTTGATTGATATAAATGTCATAGACAATTCATTTCGTTCGACATTTCCTAACAGCTTTCAAAGATATTTCTATCAAGTGGCAAAGTTACTTAGACCGTTCATGTTAACGTCAAATAAAGTTATTGTTCATTCACATGAACGCAATGAGGAAGTATTTAAAAAAAGGAAAGCACTAAAAAGCACCTCCACTAGATGGCGACTCTAGCAAAAGTTGATTTTTGCAGGAAACGAATGGACTAAAGACAGTCATTTCCGTTCCTTTTAACTAACACATAAAAAAACTGAAATTTGCAAAGTTCGAAACTTAGATATCAATACAAATACGAAAAAGTACAAATAGAATATGAGTTGTTTATTGAGTTTTGAAAACTAATTTACTTTTATACATGAGAGAAAACCAGAAGGGTTGTCAGGAAGAAATCAAGAAAGTACCTTAGCGACATCTAGTTTGATTTCGAGAAAAAATTTTTTTTTTTTAATATACTTCCTCATTGCTATAGATTTTTAAATAAACCAATTAGGCCAGTGGACGTATAAAAAAAAAGAGTTTACAATCTATCAATAGTTAATTTTAATAATGCTAGCTAACGCTTTCCTATTTCATAAATCAAACATATATTTTCTATTACTTATTTTAGCACCCTGTAGATATTATCATTAAAATATTTTGTTCTGATTTTTTAAACTAGCCAATGCTTATTAACAAGATAATACGACACTACTAGCTCTTGAGTTTCGGATTTATCGAGTAGGCTAACTAGTTATGTGCCTAGAGGGCGCCACATTTCCATGAACTCAGAATTTTATGAAAAAACACGCCGTTCCATTCTTAGTAAAACGCTGTGCATTATAGTTCAGGCAAGACACAGATATTATGGGAGAGTCGAAAGAAAACTAAATGTATCGTTTCTATCCATATATGTACCTACCGATATGTATGACGTAACCCCCCCAATGTAAAAGATAATTCAACCTTGCAAAAAAAAAAGAAATTGCATTTAGTCCGTCAGTCAGACAATAGAAACATATTAAATACGTGTTTTTTTTAAACTTTTATTTAAACAAGAAAAGGCTTTATTGGCATTAAGGTTGACGCTACGTCACAACTATGTACAAAATGTACTAAAGTATGACGTGAAGCGTCTATAAATCAATATATTTCGGTAATTTATTGATTATGCAATAAATAAAAAGAATTTATATAATATTCTACAATAGCGACGGACAGACAAATAAAAATTAGTCCCCATCCCTATTACCCTTAATTTGGAAACCACTGACCTGGATGAATTGAAAAAATCACGTTAATAAAAAAATATAATAATACATATATATTTAGTACACAGTGTTAATAACTTAATTCGTTTAAAAATACTTAATTTGTAACAAACTTAAATTTACTTTACTTAAATCACTTACTCTAAGGTAACTTATGTAAGGAATGTGTTGTATTACGCCTTTGCTTGCATTTAATACGTTCTAGGTAAATAATATTAATATAAAGGTCGTCGTACATTACTGTGATCGGACGTCGATCGATATTAAACTTTCGGTTCGGAAAGAACATCGTATACTATTATTAATACTTATACAAGTAAAAAAAAATATGAATTATTTTTATTTTATTTTTTATTATTTATTTACGTTATTACGAATGTTACTTGTTATACACATTTGTCATATTTGCGTAATACACAAACACGCATTACCTGTGATGAAAGAAAAAGTTTATCTGAAATTATGCTTTTCCTAGTTAAACTATGCTTTGTTCTAAGTTAGTGATATCGGATGTTAATCGTTTCACTCCGTATAGTTTAAGTGAGGAAGAATAAATAAAAAAAATCTATATCCAATTAATAAACTATATTGTGATATTATATTGGCACGTGTCAATCAACTTCCATCCTCCGGTTTTTGTTTATATATAAAATAATAGTAGACATGACAATTGTGGCAATAGAGACCGAATAATTGATAAGAAAGTCAATATCATCAACCATAGTTTAAAAAAAACCGATTGCAAGAATAAAATATTTCATTTTAAATTTGTATTGAAAAAAACGTAAAATATGTATAATATTGCCTGTGGAGTCGGAGTGTAGTCGACGTTGAGTCGGTGTAATGTGCGAAGACCCTTATTTTTTTTATTAAAAAAATAGAAACGACGATTTTGAATAAGTTTTACTATCATAATTTATTATGTCTATAAATACTTGTGTGTTTATCGCGTTAGGGGTCATCCATAAATTACGTCACACGATTATCATGATTTTTTTTTGCCCCTCCCCCACGTCCTAGTCATAGCTGGCCACATTTGTAAGACTCCCCTTCCTAGTGTGACGTCACATATTTTGCAAGGTTTTCATAAAGTAATAGTTTAAAATTCGTGTTTTAACAGTTAGATTATAATATATTTTGAAATGTGACGTCATCAAAATTTAGGACACACAATGTCACACTTCGTCGACCCCCTCCCTCCCCCTTAACGTGTGACGTAATTTATGGATGGCCCCTTATTGGTTTATTTTAAATTGGCAGATGTTTCTTTTTTAACTTATGTTTCTACTCGATGTAGAGTACGGTAGCTCTCTTGATTCCCTGCGCCTTCTGACGCAGAACGCTATCAGGAACACTATGAGTGCTATTAGACCGATAGCTAGTACAACCCCGAGTACTATGGCTGCAATACCAGCGCCTGTGATGTATCCTGAAAAAATTTAAAAAAAAATCCGGATTTTAATAAGTTGAAGGATCCTTATTGGATTATTAGTCAAATACAAGCTCAAATCAGGTCACACATTGCAAAACCAAAAGATACGGGTTAGTTCATCATCATCATCATCAGCACTCTTACGTCCCCACTGCAGGGGCTCAGGCCTTCCTTATGGATGATTAAGGAGGATGGGCCATGACCCTCCACGCTGGCCCAATGCGGATTGGAGGGTATTAACGACTGCAAATGCAGCCGGGACCAACGGCTTAACGTGCCTTCCGAAGCACGGAGTAGCTCGAGATAATAATTTTTTTCGGTCACCCATCCCGTGACCGACCGTTGCGAAAGTTCCTTAACGACTACGATCGCGGGCCGCGGCACTTATCCACTACGCCACCGAGCTACCGCGGGTTAGTTCATTCTGTATATATTAAATCAAAGGGAGCGTTTCAATTGTTCTTGTCTGAGTTTGTTTCGCCAGTTCTTTTAGGATAAGACTCCCAAAAGTTGGAACTGGTGGTAGATCACGGTAGCCAGTGGTAAATTAATAACTCAAATGTATTTTTAAAATTAAATCACTGCAAAGTATAAAACAAAGTCGCTTCCTCTGTCCCTATATCCGTATGTATGCTTAAAGTTTTAAAACTACGCAATGGACTTTGATGCGGTTTTTTTCATAGATAGGGTGATTCAAAAAGAAGGTTTTTATTTATAATAGGCCCGAGTGGCCTACTAAAATTACACTCTAAGTCCCCATGCCTACCCTCAACCATTGACATTTCAGGAAGTTTTTCCAATGTCTTCATCAATAGTCTAACTAATTACACTTACAATTAGAATTTATCAAAACAACAGATAGTTTCAATTTTAGTTCCATTTTGACTTGGGAGTAAAAGATGAATTTATAAAATGCTGGCCTCATCTCAACCCCGAGGTATCGTAAAAAATTCAGACTACCTAATGTTCAAAGTTTAAAAAAAAAACTAATATATATTTTTTTAAAATATCTTGAAAATAAAATGTTCTGCACTGCTGCTTCTATGACCCTCTTTTTTGTGTTGTTGTTATGTTATGTTATGTTGTTATGTTATGTTATGTTGTTATGTTATGTTATAATGAATGGAGTATATACTTTTATAATTAAAAAGATAATCAACACGTTAGTTTTATGCGAACACGGAACCTGTAAAGGGTGCCAAACGTCAATAAATCTAAATACAAACGCGATGGAACCGTTTAAACTTTAATTCATTTAGATTTAAACAAGTTTTATTTTCTCCGCGAGGGATTTGACTGATGTAGAATATTAAAACTGGGCCGAAAAGCTCAAGCTCATTGTCTTTATGAAAAATGCTTAAATTCCACTTTGTCCCTGGCATTCTGAGATGGAACATGATCGTATTTTTATGTGTAACTAGCTTTCCGTCCGCGCGCTCTTGTATTATACATAAAAACCTTCCTTTTGAATCACCCTATCTATGAAAAAAAACCGCATCAAAATCCGTTGCGTAGTTTTAAACATTTAAGCATACATACGGATATAGGGACAGAGAAGGCGACTTTGTTTTATACTATGTAGTGACGTCGAGTTGAAATGTCGCATGACGTCACGCTTTTGTGCATTTTCTACATAGTTGTGACGTAGCGAGCTCCCATTCAACTTTAATGTCTGTTATCTACGCCATTTCTTGTATGTATCTAATATTTTTAGAGTAGCTCGGTAGTGTAGTGGATAAGCGCAGCGGCCCGCGATCGTTGTCGTTAAGCAACTTTCGCAAGGGTCGGTCACGGGATGGGTGACCAAAAATTATTATCTCGAGCTACTCCGTGCTTCGGAAGGCACGTTGAGCCGTTGTTCCCGGCTGCATTTGCAGTCGTTAATACCCTCCAATCTGCATGGCCAGCGCGGAGGGTCACGGCCCATCCTCCTTAACCATCCATAAGGAAGGCCTGAGCCCCTGCAGTGGGGACGTAAAAAAAGGGCTGACGATGATGATGAATATTTTTCTATTATCTAACTGATGGACTAAATAGGATTCCCCCCCTTTTTTACCCAGTCATCATTCTCACCTGATATGTCTACAACGTGGCTATTAGCGTTCCCCATAGCGTCCACGGCGGTGACCACGAGTCTTGGGGCGCAGCAAGTGGCCCTGTACGTGGCCACCACCTCCTCCCTGGAGCCGGACACGAAGTTGCTGTCGTAAGTCAGGCCTACAGGTGACGATGACAGACGCAGGAGACCTGGCAGTTTGAAGAATGCATAATATCAACGACCGATTGGGCATAAGCCTTATATGGATGGAATCTGAGGCGTTGGTTGGGGTTTGAGATGCGCGAGTTAAGCGACTTTCGTAATGGCCGCTTGTGGGATGGGTGACCGGAATTTTTTTAGCTTTCTTTTCGGACTGTTTAACGATTGGAAAGGGTGCATATAAAGTTGTTAAAATCTATCTAAACTATACATTAATTATGCTATCATACTTTTTACGTATCTATACCTATATTGTCATATAGGAACAATTTTATGAAGCTCTGTGGACCATTTCGGATCCTGCCACGGACCACCAATTAAGGACCACTATAGGAATTTTCGTCAACTCCAATTATGCAGTTTCGGCGATCTCCGCTGAACATAATTTTGACCATTGATTTTGTGTCGTTTAACTGTTACTTCGTATTTCGGAAGCATTAGTGACTATGAGAGTGAACTTCAATGAGGAAGTGTTTTAAGAAAAAGAGAAAGCACTAAAAAGCACCTCCACTAGATGGCGACTCTAGCAAAAGTTGATTTTTGCAGGAAACGAATAGACCAAAGACAGTCATTTCCGTTCCTTTTAACTGACATATTAAAAAACTGAAATTAGAAAAGTTCGAAACTTTACAAATACGAAAGAGTACAAATAGAATATGAGTTGTTTATTGAGTTTGTTTCGGTTGCCTTCAGAAGTCGACAGAGTTACAGAATAGGGGGCTGGTTTATATGATATCCTAGCTAGTGGATAGATATGTTACCTGACACCGCATCCCGGACAGTTAAGTTACCTGACACCGAATGTCGGACAGTTAAGTTACCTGACACCGCATCCCGGGCAGTTAAGTTATCTGACAACGCATCCCGGGCAGTTACCTGACACCGCATCTCGGACAGTTAAGTTACCTGACACCGAATTTCGGACAGTTAAGTAATCTGACACCGAATCTCGGACAGTTAAGTTACCTGACACCGCATCCCGGACAGTTAAGTTACCTGACACCGCATCCCGGACAGTTAAGTTACCTGACACCGCATCCCGGACAGTTAAGTTACCTGACACCGCATCCCGGACAGTTAAGTTATCTGACAACTCATCCCGGGCAGTTACCTGACACCGCATCTCGGACAGTTAAGTTACCTAACACCGAATTTCGGACAAGTAATCTGACACCGAATCTCGGACAGTTAAGTTACCTGACACCGCATCCCGGACAGTTAAGTTACCTGACACCGCATCCCGGGCAGTTAAGTTACCTGACACCGCATCCCGGACAGTTAAGTTACCTGACACCGCATCCCGGACAGTTAAGTTACCTGACACCGAATGTCGGACAGTTAAGTTACCTGACACCGCATCCCGGGCTATGATGGTGGCGGCCCACACGTGGTGCGCGCAGTCCTCCCCCGTGTTGCCGATGCACGAGCCCTGGAAGTTGTGGCGCACCTCCGGCGCCCACACGTCCTCCATCGTCTGCCCGGGGTTGATCACGTACACGTACGCGGATATCGACACCTGTTCTAGACCTGGACGCAGACGGAAATATCGTCGTCATCGGCCCTTTCACGTCCCCACTGTAGGGGCTCAGTCTTTATGGATGGTTAAGAAGTGGGCCGTTACCCTCCGCGCTGGCCCGGATTGGAGGGTATTAACGACTGCAAATGCGGCTTAACGTGCCTTCCGGAGCATGGAGTAGCTCGAGATAATAATTTTATTTGGTCACCCATCCCGTGGCCAAGGGTGCTTCGGAAGGCACGTCAAGCCGTTGGTCCCGGCCGCATTTGCAGTCGTTAATACCCTCCAATCCGCATTGTGCCAGGGTGCAGGGTCATGGCCCATCCTTAACCATCCATAAGGAAGGCCTGAGCCCCAGCAACTGGATAGGTGATTACTTCTAAACTCATTATCTTGTTTCCATTATTATTAAATGATTATGTTATCATTATAAGACCATATTTATTTATTTTTTCTCTATCTCTGTTTATAACGTATAGATCTGGTAATGACATGGTTTTTGTAAATGCCATTACTCATATTAGAGCTGGTGAGTTTCTTGCTCGTTCTTCTTATCGGCCAAAAGACGTCCTGAACGAGCTGTAGGGAAAAAATGTTGGACGATTCAAAAGTACTTTTAAGAAGTCTATTTGAATAAAGATTATTTTGACTTTGACTTTGACTTTGATATCGAATATGCCCAATGAACTTGACTTCAAATCGTACTCGGTTTTTTGTTTGCCCCAAGAGCAAAGTACTCACCGTATGCTGTGAATGTGATGAAGTCCCTCGCCCCAGGCTGAGCTGAGTTAGATATTGTGACGCCCACTATGATGTTTTCAGTTCTACCCGACGGAATGTTGCTTCTAAAAGAGATAGATAAATATCCATCCATTAGGCATTGGTAGTGTAACGTTCGTGCACATCACTATAGGTAGGTTTACTCTATGGTCAATGCTGGCCGTTAATATTATGAATTATTATTTTTTCGTATCCGAATGAGGAAGTATTAAAAAAATATTTTTTTCTCGAAATCAAACTAGATGTCGCTACGGTACTTTCTTGATTTCTCCACGACAACCCTTCCGGTTTTCTTTCATGTACAAAAGTAAATTAGTTTTCAAAACTCAATAAACAACTCATATTCTATTTGTACTTTTTCGTATTTGTATTAATATCTAAGTTTCGAACTTTGCAAATTTCAGTTTTTTAATATGTTAGTTAAAAGGAACGGAAATGACTGTCTTTGGTCCATTCGTTTCCTGCAAAAATCAACTTTTGCTAGAGTCGCCATCTAGTGAGGTGCTTTTTAGTGCTTTTTTTTTCTTAAAATACTGAAAACCGCAACGACATCGAGTCAGTCAAAAACGAGATAGTCGCGCACAAACATACAGGTCAAATGGAGAACCTCCCTTTTTTGAAGTCGGTTAAAAACAACACGAACTAACCTCGTTGGATTGATCCCAGTGAGGAAGCGTTGCTCGCCCACCGCACCGTAACGGAAGTTGATCGTCTGCTCCCTGAAGTTGGTCACCTCGAAGTGTAGCTGAGCAAAATAATATGTTTAGATCCAAATATATGACTATATATGCCAAATTTCCCCAACTCGATTTTAAACCTTAACACATCCAATTTTATTAATAAACAAGGTTTGGCGTTGGAGTACATTTACGCACTACGACTGCACTTAGTTTTAATCAAAATTCATATTATTAAACAGAGACTTGGCAAAGGTTTACCTAGTACGAGGTTCGAATTTGGGTTAATGATAAAATTGTAATTTTAGTGTAAATGTACACTTTGACGCTAAACTTTGTTTATTAATAGCACTGTAAAAGGTTAGAGGTCAAAGGTCATAATTGGTATATTGTATATTGTCAAAGGTCATAATTGTAGAAATTTGGTATATTGTGGTATATATATTGGTGTGTACACATTAAACTATATACAGGTTGTAACATTTAGAACGGTCAGCAGCGCGATTGATTGTTTAATACGTGACTCGGATATTCTATCCGTATGTCATTTTGAAACTCACTTCACTTATGCCATGATACGTTAATACCGTTTCAAGGTTAATTTGGATACTTGAGTGAATTCTAATTCGGGTTCGGATTTTTCCAGAATCGCTCTGCTGTTAAAGGGAAATCTGGAACTATAACACAAATATCTATTCTGAGGAACCATGTCATTGATTTTTCAATGCAGTTGCTTATATTTTTTTAATCCATTATAAACATCGAAAGTGAGTCTTTAAACACGCGTTAAATAAAAATGCACTGAAATCTTTTACTGTACACGTGCTTAAAAGTATTTTTTTAATTTTTCTTGGCCAAGCACCAAAGAAGTTAAAAAAAAATTGATGAAAATATGTCAAACTTTAGAGGCAAAAGTTTCGAGAAGCCTAGAACGAATATTTTCAAATAAAAATGTATGACACGAAAACATGTTCAAATATCACGTTTAATTTTAACAAATAATTTTTACCTTTAATACATACTTAGTTTTATTAACCTATATATTTGTTTTATTTCCTCGCAAAAAGGATTGAAAAATGTGGTAAGAAACCTGAGCGGAAAAGGTTTTTCGAATTCGTGCCAATGAAAATTTGGCCCTTATTCGTAAAACCTTACTTTCCGCACTCGTATCTTAAATAACTATTAGTGAACTAGTTTTCGATTTGGTATTAGAATCTGGGCGTTGTAAAAATTGAAACTTACATTATTTTTATTTAAATACCGATTATGTAGGTCTTGCACAGTTAATGTTACTATGGAATATGATCACATCCTGTATATGTAATAGAGGCTTCATAGGGTTGCCACCTTTTGAGAAACAAAATTCGGGACATTCGAACGGTCATAGAAAAAATAAAAAAAATATGAAGATGAATATTGTATCGACCGGCGGGACCTGCGTAGGGATAACTAAGGCGCGAAAGGAGGGATTGTCGAGCGATATCAAAATAGAGAGCGAGAGGTAAATGAAAACGGAAGCTGCTTAACAACCATATCCGCTAAGACATGGAACTACTTCGTTGTAATATGCTTACTTGTAAACTGTCTCCAGGTGCTCCATAAAGTCTTGTACTTAGTCCGATCTGGACAGCTGTTAGGAGCGCACCCCTCTGGTTCACCACCTGGCGGATATTTGTTTATTAATAAATGATTGAAATATTTTTGGTAATTTCATCCAGACACACGGTAGTGTGTCAAGCCAAGTTCAAGATGAAAAAAGTGCGAGCAGCACCGTTTGTAATATTATACGAATCGTTTAAAGCCACTTTTTACCCCTTCATAATTCAAAATCTTGTTAATTAAGATCACACCTCCTAGATAAAGTTGTGCCTAAAATTTCATAAATATAGATCGAACGGTTACGAAATTCGGCACTTTAACTTTTGACTGACATACAGATCAAAAACTTCAAGATTTACCGGTTAAAGCAAAGAATGAGTTACATCATTTGACATTGGCTGAGGACGTCATAACTTTAGCTGTTAACTATAACCGCCCAAGCTTCACTGGTTAAAGGTTAAAGTTATTGTTTCATTATGCAAAGAAAGAGGATGGTGTAAACTGAAAAAAAGAAATATTTAGTAAATTGTACCTGTGATACAGCTCTGTTGTACGGAAGTACATTTGTGTCGTTGTACTGCAGTCGTTCACTGTAGAGTCGCGAGTTGGACATTTCCACTAGCTCCAGATCGTTGTCGGTCTCGGGGAAGGCTATGGCGGCCGAACGGCCCGCGCGCATCTCCGACTGATGCCTGAGTGGTCCCGCGAGACGAACGAACGGGTCGCCTGGCGAACGGTTAATCTTTTAGTCAATAGATGGCGTTGTAGCGAGTTCGATCGCGTGAACGCGTTGTTTTTATGTATCGTGTATATAATCTCTGGGTGCAACTTGAATCATGAAATCGTCTTGGACGCGGTTGTTTATTAATTTCATTTGTTTGAAGACCTCAGTGAATCTTCACACTTAAAATAGTCACTTTTTAATAGTATTAATTATTGTAATTATGGCGAAGGAATTATAAATACAAATAATGACTGTATAAGTTATAAAAAACCGCTCAAGTGCGAATCGGAATTTCGGTTTCGGAATAGGGTTTTCGTTCTCAAATCTCTTATCTTTTTTATAGTTGGTGCGAATATAGACATTCTATAGTTGTGCTAGGTAACGTTAGCAGAGTAGGGTGTTGACAAAATAAAAAATATATTATCAAAAATTGTGGTCATCCTTTAAGATAAAAGCGTAATAAATTTTAAACGAAAAATGTGTAATTTTTTCAGATTAAACAAAATAACATTAAACATTTTATCTGACACAAAAACGCCTCGTGAGTGGATGCAACTCCGATGACGTCACACGCCAGTAAACATGGCTTCCTGATGAGGTTTGTTTATTTACTAGCGTGTGACGTCACACGCGGCGTAATGGCGGCGTACGAGAGAAACGGCGTTTATCGCGCGCTTTCGGAAATTTAAACTTTAACATTGATTTTTATTCTCCGAAATATTAATGTAATGTGTTTATTATGTAATATTTTATATTATGTAATATTATGTCTATTTAGCAACAGTCCAGTCTAACCTACGGTTGCCTGGCAGAAATTGCTCTTTAGCGATAAGGCCGCCGATTGTACAACTAAACTGTATAAATTGTATTTTCTCTATAATTTATGGTGTACAATAAAGAATTTATTCATTCATTTATTTTTAAAATATTATAGTCAAATACCCTTTTGTCCTACTAAAATTGATATGGATTCAGTTTTAATATCTACATTGGTTAGCAGATGTGTATCTTTTGCGTTATCTTATACATTGCTCATCCACTATATTGATATAAACATGATTTATATGACCTGTGTTTACGAATAGAAACTGAAGTCCATAGATTTATTTATATCTATACTTATCTTTGCTTGAGTCACGTTTCGATTAGTAAATAAGAAACAATGGGTATTGTGCGTCTTGCTAAAAGGGGTATATAAGAGCCAGTAGAGTATGAGTTGTTTAGCAATTTATGGGTCGGTCGTGGGATGGGTGACCAGAGAATTATTATTTTGAGCCACTCTATGCTTCGGAAGGCACGTTGAGCCGTTGGTATCGGCTGCATTTGCAGTCATTAATACCCTCCAATCCGCATTGGGTCAGCGTGGAGGGTCATGGCCCATCCTCCTTAACCATTCATAAGGGACGTCTGAGTCCCTGCAGTGAGGACGTAAAACGGCTATTTAATTAAATTTCATTGCACGCAAAATTGTACAAATGGCGGATTGCCAATATTCTCTTCCAATAAACAGGCACAGATAATCTTATCATCATCATCATCACCAGCCCTTTTACGTCCCCACTGCAGGGGCTCAGGCCTTCCTGATGGATGGTTAAGGAGGATGCGCCATGACCCTCCACGCTGGCCCAATGCGGATTGGAGGGTATTAACGATAATCTTATAATTAATAATTATAGTATCAATTATTTATCTGTTTCAGCGCTTTTTACTGTCCAAGTTAACTATACCATGTGAACGATGTAATAAAATCGGCGGTGCCAGTTATCTTATTTTAAAATCTATCATTTGACATTTGAAAGATATCCAGGAGCTTCGCGCTACAACTATTGCGATCTACATATACTGTGACAGCGATTGCAGTCGCGGCGTTTTTTTTTTCACTTGAATGAACGATACCTTTAATTTGACGTCATTGAGGAAGTATTAAAAAAAAAATTAGTTCCCGAAATCAAACTAGATGTCGCTACGGTACTTTCTTGATTTCTCCATGCACCGAGCTCCGAGCACAGTGCTAGGTTCAATCAAATACAAACTACCTACATCAAAAGGTAATCTTAGATTACCTTACCTTTGACATCTCTGCCGGCTATTTTGGCGTATACCCTGGAGCCTTTGACGTCTGGCAGTTGGATATTAGCCACCAGTTCTTTGTTCTGATCTTCTCCTGCGCCGTCTGTATCTCTCGCCATCGGTGGGTAGCTGCAAAGTGACAGATTTTTTAAAGAAAAAGAAACTTACGAATCTTTCTAAAGCTTAATAGTGTTACGGAGCGCAGCGGCGCGATGTTTTGTGTGCTCGTTACTAGATGGCGCTACTTGGCGTCACTTGTGCGCTGCTGATTCGCTATAGCACCATTGAAACTACGCGCGTTTTACGTCAATGAGAATAGGACGGTGATTGAGGAAGTAAGGGACGAGTAGAAGTTCTAGAAGTTTTTGGAAATGAAGAACGGTAGGACCGAGACAAAACTAGAATGTTGCAACGTTTTAATCTGGAATATTAACAGCTAATGATGGTTCTATATGCTGGAAAAGTCTGCCTCTGTCCCGGTATTATTCCAGTCAACACATCTCGATACGAAAGCTACAAAATAACTGTCAGGCCCAGATCTACAATTTCTTCCAACCAGGGCAGGAACTTAATTTTGCGACTTTACGTACGTATATTAACGTATTACGTACGTATATTACGTATATATATTTTTTTAAATAATTTAGGGATTTGTCTTTGAATGTCTTTCTTTATCTGTATTACTTTATCATGCTTTAGCGCCAAGTACACATAACCCATTAGCCTCTCATTCCCCATCCCCCTTAGCCCGGTCCTGATATCTGTCACCATTGAGTTGTGAAGATATTTCAATTATAATATTGGACAGTGCAGAAATTTAATTAATTGCGATGAGCTTATTAAGATATAGATATAGATACTCTACCTGTAAGATAGTTTGGCTAGCTCTGTGCCGTATTCATCTATGAGGGCCGACTCCCAGATGCTGGACACTGGTCCTGTTGTACGGAATCTGAGCTTATCTGTAGAGGAAAAATCATGTGTAGAGTAAACATAATGTATATTGCTAAAGATTTTGTACTACAAATTCTAATACAACGAAGAAAACATTTAGAATAGAAACAATATAGATAAGTTATTTTTCTGCATTGATCCAACCTGGAGGCTCTTGAATACAATCCAAATGTTACTCGTACGTACATAATCATTTAACATGTTGGTTATTGTTGCTATGAAGGTGTGCTTTAATAATTTTATAAATTTATGACAGCTGGTTTACGTTTCCTACCCACTTCATCAAAATATGCACGTCTAGTCTAAAAATTGAACTCTCTCGGAGCGCATCGCTTGCGCTATGTCAAGTGTTTTTTTTTTGAATACTTTATTCGTTGTGAGTGTTATGTTCTTATGAAGTCTAAGTTATTAAGAATGTGTTGTTTACAAGAGTGTGCTACTTAGTGAAGATTAACAGTGTTGAAGACAATTGGTTGAGCACGTGCTTTTAGGACATCGACCGCCATTGAACTGGTGGATGAGTTTGCAGTATCAAACAACAACCAGAGCGAGTGCATATTTCCATCCAGTTTTCCGGTTGTATTTTTTCCCCTTTTTAATATCCTAAAGGCAGCTTATTCTTACCTTACAGCCGTCATAATAGATCAGTTGTTTTTTTTTCCTTTGCATTTTTTGGCACCCCAAAAATAATTTAAATATGCAGTCCATTAAAATTTACTTTACCAGCTACTAAGAAAAATAATTTTATTTTAATCTTTTTACACCACAACATACATATTCAAACACAAAACTACTTAATTGTTTTACTTTAAAACTTTTGTTTTTCAAATATTTTCCTTGTAGTATAATTAGCACAATAGTTACTTAGTTATTTAATGCGAAAATAGTCATATTCCCCTTGGGGTGGGTCTTGGTGATCTGTACTACAGGCTATCGCACCTAACAGACACCAGTTCCTCACAAAGCCGTCTGGCGATCTCCTTTCTTTTTGTTTTATTCGATTGTGTTTAGTCGATAACATGTAACCATGTTCCTGTATTTGTGAGGAAAATAAATTCAGCTTTTATTATTTATAATGTCAATTCCAATTTTCATAAAATTACAGCAACTGTAAGCTCACTATTCGTGTGATGACAAATCACTTGGATATCTTCAACAGCTTCTAATGCCCACAAAATAGGTACTACTCAAAACACAGTGTCATTAAAAGTAGGTGAAGCGTAAAAAAAAATACACTCGAAGCCATGCCCTTTTGCTATCCGGGCGACTGCTCTTACTACTGAGCTAACCAGGACCTAACACCACCACCACCACCACCAGCCCTTTTACGTCCCCACTGCAGGGGCTCAGGCCTTCCTTATGGATGGTTAAGGAGGATGGGCCGTGACCCTCCGCGCTGGTCCAATGCGGATTGGAGGGTATTGACGACTGCAAATGCAGCCGAGACCAACGGCTTAACGTGTCTTCCGAAGCACGGAGTAGCTCGAGATAATATTTTTTTTTTGGTCACCCATCCCGTGACCGACCATTGCGAAAGTTGCTTAACGACTACGATCGCGGGCCGCGGCGCTTATCCACTACGCCACCGAGCTACTCACAGGACTTAACAGTACACAGGACTAATAGGACCTAACAGGACTGACGAATCTTTCAAGCACTTGTTACTTTTTCACTACTACAGAGCGTATTCTCATCAATGGTCAGGCAACCCAAATAGCCAAAAGACAGGTTATAAATTTTTTGAATGCAAAATTGATCAAATATGATTTAAAAAAAACTATCATAACATAGACAATTATTAAAATGAGGTTAAAATGAACTGCCGGACATCCAATAATACTGTAACATTCGACGGCATTGGATATGTCAACTTTGAACTATTCAAACTGCAATAATATGTTTTTTTCAATATAGAATACATTCTAATTGTAAATATGATACGTTTTGTTTAGAGCTAACCGATATATCGTAAATACGATAACCCAAAGACCTTTGCACATCTCCGTCATACTTCCTCACTCCGGTGACGAAACGCTCGTGCTAGGGTTGCCAGGCAAAAAAAATACCACCAAATTGTCGAAAAAAAGTTTTTTTGTTGTTTTTCTTCTACTTTGTTCAATATTTTTTATGTACCTATTAGTACGTTATAAACTGATTGCATAATATTTTTATAGACAAACACATTATGCATTTAATGTCTCATAAAAAACGTGCATAATAGACAACTTTTTTTTTATTATTTTTATTTTATAGATATGTCGCAGCCAAGTGGTATAATCAGCCGACCAATTGTGCGGCTAGCGCCATTCTATTGACTGGCTGATTCGATCAGCTGAGTAGTTGAACATGTTTTCGGTTAAATGAGACCAGCCAGCTGTCAAAACAAAATTAATATTGTAGTGGGTGATTTTTAAATAAAACTCAAAAACTTATAACGATCTGTAATCGATACAGATCGCTACATCTTTGAAAGGTATTGCAATAGATTTTGAAGTAGATAATAAAGTAACAAGTCCGGAAAAACGTTCGAAGATCTCTTCAATCGGTTAATTTTGATGATTTTGTCACCCCCTCGACAATGGCCCTGACATACATAGAAAAGAAAGAAGGTAAGAGATATACGTTTTGGTGTCAATGATTAGTCAATCCTAATAATTTGCCAGAATTTAATTATTATTTTTGCCGCGTAATTTGCCATTGTTTCATGTGTATCTCATCTTAATGCCGCTGCGATATTAATTTGCCCTAACGCACCCTCTTAAACCAGTAGCCACAATGCGATAATTAATGATATCACATCGTTAAAATAACTAAAATAAACTACATATAAGATAGCAGATATGTGACCTGAAATCATTATCCGATAATAAACAACCATTAGTTTGTCTGTATATACTTGTGGTGCGCACGCGCAGTTATAGCTGCGCGCCATTTTTCACGCGTATCAAACTTTGAGTGGACCAAAAAAGGTAGTCGATAAAAAAGTACAATAAGCGCGAGTGATTATTCGTTTTAAGTTTGATAGAAGGATAATCTTTTTTTTTAGGGACGATTATTTTTTTTTAAATTGAACCTTGAGGCTGTTATATTAAAAGCTTTTATTGGTTGATATGCGTTGACAGCAAAGTGTGTACGCAAACGTAGTTTACGTTTTTTTTATGCCAGTGTATTTATTACCCTTTTCGTGACGGTTCTTGTATTTACTCTATGTCAAATTCAGACTGTATTTATTTGTGGATGTTATCTTAGTTTCGACATTTAATTAGTGATTCGTATAAATTGTCTTTGGAAATGATAATTAAAAAGAAGTTATTTGACATTTTTATTAGCTTGTGATTTATTGTATTGAAATAATAAATTATTGACGAATTAGAACCTCAGCACTATTAATTAGTAATTGAGCGTTTATACATGAAAAAAACATAATAATTTTATATTTACTCAATTCTTAAAATATATATCATAAAAATATTTTTCTTTCACGATCTAAATGAAACAAAGAAAGTTTTTTTTTCTTCATAAAATGTAACCTGTTTATCGTTCATAAATCTTACCAAGTTCCTGAATGCAATTAGCATTTGTGGCGTCGTTTTTTTTCGCCTTAAAGTTGACAATCACTGTAGTGCCTCTATTTCTATTTTTTTGTTAACAGACAATAAAAAGTTTCAATGTCTGTCAATGGAAATTAAAAAAAAAACACCTAAGTATTCTCAATTACCCTTTTAATCGTGATTGCGCGCCACAAAATCATTGTTACAGAACATAATTTGCATCGGATGTTTATTTTTTTTTAATGTTCGTCTAAAACGCTTCCTCTTATTCTCACGCATACCTTTTTTTACGATGAGGTTGAATTACTTAATTCGACATGATGATGTCACCCGTTTATAAACACGTTCGACATTTAAAATGTGATTTTCAAATCGAGATTGGTGTTAAAAAGCGCGCGCAACGCGCCCTTGGCCTAGAAAGAGTGCGTCGGCCGTCGCCATCTTTAATGTTTTTGGAGGGATGCGTTCGCTGTCAGCGTGCCGTTTTGAGGTTATTTTTTTTTTTAGTTTACGGTTTGTTGTGGGTTTGGTTTTCAAGCATGCGTGCACTGTAGGATGAAGGATTTTTTGCTAATGTTAAATAACAATTGATTACATGCTTTTTTAATCATGTAAACTATTTCTTTTTCAATGTGAAATGAAAAAGGGTTTGTTGGCAGTTCATCTCAGTACAAGGTATTTTACCGTGCATTTACGAACCGATAACCTTGCCTAGACTGATTCGGATGTTGACTTGATTTAATGTCGGGAACAAGAGATGGGGTTCAAACACAACTTCCCTCATATTAACAGTAACAGAACCCAATTAACCTATAGTTCTTATGGATCTGTATCTAATCTTGATCACCTGGGACGTGTCCCAGAGAGCTTAGTAGGGATTTAATATATTTTTAAATGTATAATTTAAATTTTATCCAATAATAACATGATTATTGCATATTTGAATTTAAGAAGGAAGGGAATCAAAAGACAAGATCTACGAATTTGTTTGTTTTTGCGTAATATTCCCTATGGGAAAGTTTACGTGTGAAATAATCATCGAAAGCCTATTAATGTCCCTATTGGGGGGCTCAGGCCTTCGTTATGGATGGAATCGAAACAAATCGAATTGGCCATGACCCATCACGCAAGCCCAGTGCGGATTGGTTGGTATTAACACTTAACGTACTTTACGAAGCACAGGAGTTGCAGGATAATTAACCTCCATCAATCCTCTAACCGGCCATTGTGAAAGTTGCTTACAAACCGTATTACAGACCGAAATTCGTAACAAATGTGTGCGAAGCCTAAGCATTAACGTGATGGACAATGTTAGCGCTTATAATTTGGCTGTTGTGTGTTTTTTTTAAATTCGAACTGTCAGAAAATCTTTCATCAAGTTTTTATGTTGAAGCTTTTTTTTTTAATTTCCTGCATGTGTTGTTGGTTTTCGATTAAGTATATTATGATTACGGGTGAATGAATTTGCATGTTGCTACTAACCTTTTTGCTTGTACTTTTTTTTCTTGTTAACGATTTTAGCACTCCAATGGTACGAGAGCGCTTTGATTTTTAAAAATAAATATATGCTTGTCTGTTTTGTGGTCGCATTGGCGAATTTTTTTTTTGACGCAATTTTTTTGAAATGAATGATGTGTTTTTAAAGATTTCTTTTCTATACACAGTATCTCATACGTATCCCATATTAAAACTGATCTTCTTATACGCCAAAAGATTTCATGAACGGCATTATTGTTTAATATTTCTACGTTGATTATTTAAATGTTTCGTATTCACAAAAACATTGAACTTAGTTTGATTTATTAAAAAAAAAAACCATGATTGCCAAACATGAAGTAAAAATAATAAAACAAGATAACACACTCAAACACGCACATACACAAAATAAAATTTAACATAATATACTTGAATCTTATATGTTATATACCTCACACAGTGCGCGAGCGTTTATGAATAAAATATAGACATAGAGCGTTTATGATAAATTTAACGACAGCGCAATAAAAACCTACAAAAAAAAAACATTTATGTTTTAAGTATTGAATTATATTAAAATGGTATATCAAACATTCTTGTTTAAGAGGTTAAGTTTTCTAGTACTATAAGGTTGATGGTGTTCTACAAATAACCCTGTATAAGAAGGTACCTAATATAAATAACCCTGTATAGGAAAGTGTGTGTCTGAAACTTACCTGGCTGTTCGTCTTCTATCCGGAAGTGCAGTTTCGCTCTGGCCGAAATGCCGAGACGGTAATCACAAGTGTCACATCTAATGCTCAGATGCCAGACGCCGACCATTCCCGAATCGGCCGGCGGCGATGACGCGGGCACGACGGACAGCCTGCCGATGTTATGATAAAAAGAAACATTATCATTTTGTACCTAGGTTGAGCAACTCTTAAGGCGCGGTTATACGAAATTTGCTGCTTTTTAAACCGAATTTATTCTAAGGCTATGCTAATGTTTGCCAAATAAAAATCATTTTATGGAAACTTAACTTATGGTCTATTGTTTTCTAAAACACAGAAACATAAATTTCAATAATTGTCTCGATCGATTTAACGACTAGTTATATTTCATCTTAACTTTATCAAAATATATACAAAAAAGGTTTTATAATTTAAAATAATGGAAGGATATTATATTTGAGAAAGTATTCTTAATGGAAAATGCTTAAAAATCCAGCACTCGGAGATGGGACTCGAATCCGTGACCTTTCGCAACCCGGGCGACTGCTCTAACCACTGAGCTACCCAGGACCTAACAGGACTGACGAATCTTTCAAGCACTTGTTACTTTTTCGCTAGCGTATTCTCATCAATGTTCAGGCATTCCATCCAAACAACCGAAAAGAATATTTTTACAAATATTTTAAAATTTCGATAAAGATATTAATTTGTTCTAATAATTTAATTATATATGATAAATTCCACATTCACAATTCTGTACTGTAAAGTATTATTAATGAAAATATTTATTAAAGCATACATTTTGAATTACAGAAAAAACAAATGCATTTATAAAAAAAAAAAAACTTTTAATCTTTCGAGCGCGTCTATACTCTCGTTGCGTATTTGTGTGGGAACATAACAGGGCCTTAACACACATAATTGCACCACTGCGAAATAGAGCGAGTAAATTTTCAGTAATCTTGTCTAATCATAGAAAAACGTTTGTAGAAAAATATATATAACTTACGTATCGGTGGTATTGGCTCCAGGGAAGACCAGCAGTACGTCTCTTGGATTCAATCCGATAGTTCTTGATGATGGGGAGAACGCTTCCACTGAAGCTTTGCTGTATAAGTCGATTTGTGGCCCTGCGATTGTGTAATTCGAATTTATTAGTTAACCACATATCAAGTTACATAAACCTCGTGGTCCCTAGGGAACTGTTGATTTGGATCCATATTATTACACATATAATTACAATGACAAATTGAATAGTAAACAAAAAAAACAAACAGGCCCCTTGGGACGATTTGGTTGGTGAAATTTGAATGGGCCCCGACTATGAGTCGTTCTGTTCTGCATTAGGATTTATGATTTGTTTTATGTGTGTATCGACTATAGAACTATTTCAATTGTGTTGTTATTTAGTATTACTTAACTGAATTCTAAACTACTGGGCTTGTTTCTTTATTTTTAGTACTTTTTTAAAGTTATTTCTTTCGTGTATTTTTTAAAATTCGTTTTTACGCAGTCTGGTTTTTTGTTTTTCTTTAAATTATTTATTATTATTTTATACTTTTTAGTTACGATTCGTTGGCTTCGTTATAAGATGGTAAATTTCGCAATCTAGTCATTTCATTGAGTGAGATAATATCGTTTGGTAAACAAATTTAAGTCGTTATATATCCTAAACTATTGTTTAAAATGAAAAATGATAAAAGGAACCTAAAGATGATTTTAAAATACCTATTCAACGACACCCCACTCGACATAGTTCATCGATTTTTATTTTTTTCATTTTGTCAATATGGCGTCTGGTTGTCGCTGTGGTGAATTTTGATTACTGTCATGTCTTTAGTGACACTCGCAAGGTTAAGACGAATCGATTGACGTAAGAATCATCAAATCTGCCTACGCATTTGGTCTCTAGAACGCCACATAGGAACAAACATACATACATAGACTGATAAACACATTACCCTCCTTTACGTCGCGCAGTCGGGTAAAAAGAGAATAAACAAACTCGAAGGAACCATTTAAAAGTTGTATCATTTAGATTATATTAGTTTTATTTATATGATTCAAGTATGAATTTTGCCTATTTTTTACATATCCTAGGGGCCATTCATTTATTACGTAAGACGATTTAGGGGGGGGATGGGGGTCAACCATGTCTTATTTTTTCTTACAAGGGGGTGGAAGGGAGTCTCGGTAGTTCTTACGTAAGACCATAACATAAAAAATAAAAAACTATCAATTATTAAAAATTATTAGTACCTTTGTAAGTACAGATATAGATTTTTAATAATTATTACTTTAAAACATAAACATTAAAACAACCCAAAGCTGTATTATTTTTTCTTTCAGATTCTTACGTAATAAATATTAGCCAGGGGGGGAGGGGGTCGGCCTATTCTTATTTTTTCTTATATTAGGGGGGGAGGGGGTCAAAAACTAGCGAAAATAGTCTTACGTAATAAATGAATGGCCCCCTATTGTTTTCTCCTATTTGTTATTGTTGGTGATCTGTCGTTTTCTAGTTTCTCGCGGTTGGCAACACTGACGGCAGTGTTCGCTTCGCGCTCGACTTGGCGAGATATCAAATCGATTTCATGTCTGTTGAGGTGACTGATGGATATTATTTAGCGTTTGATTTAATTATTATAGAAATGTCCGACATGCCTCTTGAAACAATGGACAATGACCCTGCGGGGATCGAGTCAATATCCTTATTTGAATATGTCCGACGTCATACAGTTAGTATAGTTAATCCGGCCTTACTCTGAATTGTTTTTTCGTTATTGTTAGTACGGTTTGTCTATCCTTATACATCAAAGCGAAAGGTCACTCACTCATTCATTCATTCATTCATTCATTCACTCACTCATTCATTAATTCACTCACTCGCTCTAATCACGAAATATCAGAAACTACAAGTGCTAGGAGTGTCAAATTTTGCATGCGGGTACTCCTTAGGACGTAGGTGCTCACTAAGACGGGATTTTTCGAAATTCGACCTCTAAGGGGGTAAATTAGGGGATGAAAATTTGTATGAAACTTCGTTACTACAAGTGCTAGGAGTTTCAAAATTTGCACGCGGATGCACTCACAAAAACGGGATTCACCAGCCCTTTTACGTCCCCACCGCAGGGGCTTAGACCTTATCGATAGTTAAGGAAGATGGGCTATGCATGACCCTCCACGTGGGCCTAATGCGGATTGGAGGCTATTAACGGCTGCAAATGCAGCCGGGACCAACGACTCAACGTGCCTTCCGAAGAACGGAGTAGCTCGAGATAATGATTTTTCGGTCACCCATCCCGTGCCCGACCGTTGCGAAGGTTGCTTAACGACTACGATCGCGGGCCGCGGCGCTTTACCACTACGCCACCGTACTACCCGACGGAAAAATGTGTTATAATGTGACAGTGAAATGAATTAAGTGTTGTTATTACTATTGTGATTGTGAATGCTAATTGAAGGTCGATGTTGTTTGTCGCGTCGCTTATTTAGTCTGCGATGGAAAATTTTCCAGTGTATGGGGTTAATTGCGCGGCCATTTTAGTTTACAAGAGTCCTTCGACTCGATTTGGGGACCGTCCATTAAACACGTGAGGTTTGAAAGAGGGGGTTCGTCGAAAATCACGAAATATCACAAGGGGGAGAGGGGTGTAGTAATAGTATATCACGTGTATTTACGTTTTCCTCAAATGCGCAATTAAAAAAAAACCGAAAAGCGGTGTCAAAAATTAAGATTTTTTTTGTAGGTACTAAAAATACACATGATTTGGGTGAATGGGGTCTTAAATTTCGCCATGTATCACCAAGGGGGAGAGGCGGGGGGGAGTAAATTAAAAAAAAATCACCTGATTAATGGACGGTCCATTTATAAATTTTTAAACTTTGATGTCGGTTCTATTTTTTTTATTTTGTTCCGTGTTATGTTGTGTGACTATTGCCGACAGCCTTACCATGTTGTTTTGATATAATATCAATGTCCTCTTTAAGAAGCCTTTTATACTTATTTTTTGTTTTTTTTTTTTACTTTTGTGTGAAGTCTTGTATCCTGTGCTTTTATACGTTTTCATAAATTAATATTTTTCTTTGATAAAATTATCTTATTATTAATGTATATACAGTCTATTGTACTTGCTCTGTCTATTACAATGACACTGGCCCCATGCCCAAAATCCGGCCCTGTACCTGCCCTGCGATTCTTTAAAAATCCAGACACGAATTCGAATCCACTTAAAAAAGCGGCATCCGCTCAACCTCGAATCGGTGATAACATTTCGTGGCATAAGTGAAGTGAGTTTCGAAATGACATAGGAATAGAATATCTGAGACACGTATAATCAATTTTCTTTTTGTATTATTATACGAAAAAATGATGAATCGATAGAATTTCTTTCGGACACATGAGTGAATTCGAATTCGGGTTTGGGTTTTTACAGAATTGGTCTCCTGAACACTCGTATGCTCGCGACACTCACCGTCATCTGGCGGGTACAATACGGCGTGCTCCACCGCTCCCTCTATGAATATCTTGAGGGCTGTGACGCCGTTCTCTACCGGCACACCGAGGGATATGGCTTCACCGCCCCCACGCCTGACCAGCAGCGTCTGGAAGTTTCTAGAGGTTAACTTCTCGAAAATCACAAAGTTTTAGGTCAGGTTTATTATGTCGTGGAAGTCCATTGCTTATAATCGTGAAACAGTACTATCCAGTGACTTCTCACACCCATTCAGTAACCGCAAGAATTGTTGACAAGACACACAAATATTCACATATACAAACGGCGGCAAATATCGCAAAATCAACCCTCTGCATGTCTTTCGATTACTGGAGCAACTCCTTAACTCCTAAGGAGAGGTGCTTCATGAGGTATGATACATCGTCTTCGTATCGCGGTCACCCATCATACGACGGGCCTTTGCGGAACTTGCTTAATTTGTCGCATCGCAGACGATTTATTTTATGAATACTAATGTTTTCGGAATTAAATATAAAAAAACCCTAACATGAATTCATGTTTAAAACACAAGTCTTTTTTAAAGGTACTTCCAAAGTGCACGCATGAGTGTGAAATAATGAATTTTCAGTCACCCATCATATTACAGGCCTTTGCAAATGTTGCTTAATTGTTACTTATTGTGTGTGACCCTCCAATCCGCATTGGGCCAGCGGAGGGTCATGGCCCGTCCTCCTTAACCATCCATAAGGAAGGCCTGAGCCCCTGCAGTGGGGACGTAAAAGGGCTGGTGGTGGTGTGTGACTTACTTCGAATTTCTCCTGTTCCACTTCGGGATTGAGCCTCCCGCGTCTGGTTTGCACGTGCTCTAAAGGTTCCCACTCCTGGAGCTCCGCTTCGGATGCCAGATTGCTGGAGTCCATGTCCTGGAACATTTACTTTTATATAGAGAAAGCTTTATATGTAGTAGAGATATTTCTGTGTAAGATTTGAAAATAATTCTTTTTTAAAGGAGAGACTTCCCTGGTCTGTGTGAGATGAAGAAATTCTGGAGAATGAGGGGACTATTCAAAATTTTTATAAACACCAACTTAAACATGAAGAATTTACAGCTGATTGTGTCTGGAAATTTGCCAGATACAAGTAACATTCTTAGCTTACTTACGAGTTACTTACCATAACTTGTAACGAATATGGTAGTACATCTCCTTCTGTGTGAGTCGAGACATTTCTCAGTTCGTGTAAAGCTGTTTCGGAGTCGGCAGACGGATGATGAGGATCTGTCCATATTGTGTACACCTGTTGAAGATAATAAGAGTGTTATTCTCGGCATCATCATTGTTTTAGTGATGCGACTCGATGCCTGCTTTCATTCGAGTCACTCGAGTGAATTTTTCAAACTCGTGCTCGAGTGAAAAAAATATATCACCCGAGACTATGCACTCGAGTTATCGAGTCAACTCGGCGTATCGAATTGATTCTATTGTCACTAGGTGTCACTTCGCTACTCTAATATATTTATCTATGCCGCTATATTTTTATTTTATAGATTACTTATATAAATAATATGTCAAAACTCTTTTAATGTATTTTTTATTATACTATTTGTTTAAAGTTACTAAGAAAAATCTCACTCGAGTAGCACGTTTGCAATTTTTTTACTCGAGTGAATCGAAATCTCGAGTATGACTAGAGTGATTTAGTTAATTGTCTCGAGTGACTCGAGTTACAAAATCCTAATCTAGTCGCATCAGTACATTGTGTCCTCCTACTTACCTTGAGTCTCTTCTCGACGAGAACTCTGAGAGCTAACGGCAATCTTTGAGGGTCTGCCGCTCCCCGATCTGTTACGACGAACAGGGCGCTGTCGTATGGCACCAGTTTGGCTGCAGACGCCAATGCTCTCATGGTACCATCCCCCGCATCGGAATTCACACCCTGGCAGGAATGGGGAATTTGTGATAAGTCAGTTTCGGAATAAGGCAGCGTTTTGTTTGAAATGCGTTAGTGCAAACTGTAATATAAATCAGGGATTCTCAAACTAGAAACTAGACCAACTAACGAATCAAATTCTCCCCTAGAGTAAATAATAACATTCGTTGTTGAAGATAATAAGGTTTTTATATAAATAAAAGGTAACAAATACACTTTCAAAGGAAATATCTCTTAAGGGCTCTCTTGTGCCTCCGCTTACTTTTCCATACAAATACGCGGAAAGACGCGCTCGCTTGCTTTCATACATTTTTAATCACAGAAAAAAACAAATGCGGTTATAAAAAATATCTTAAATATATACAAAAATATTAATTCTAATCGATCCACAAATTTGCGATTTTTTATCAACGAACTAATTATTGAAATTTATGTTTCTGTTCAGCAAGCAATTTAACATACGTGTAATTTACATAAAATGATTTTTATTTGGCTACTATGAGAATAGTTTTAGAATAAAATTGGTTTAGAAAAGTGGTAATTTCGTAATGAATGTAAAAAAATATTTATGTAAATTTTGGACAATTTCACTGTCATCACCAAGTCGAGTTACGTTAATATCTTATCCCGTCGAACAGCAGAGCCCCAGGGGTTTGCGTACCTCATTTTTAGAAACACTGCTTTAAATGATAGATAGTGCGGTGTCTAATTTTATTCGCAGATGAAATTATTATTATTTCTATCGCATTTCAAACAAAGCTTTACTGGTGACGACTGTACATACGGCCGCACGTCACGCTACCGACCACCACAAGCGGATCTCTGTTAGCAGAGAAGTTCCATACGAAGCGCGGTCGGTGCGAAGACCACAATGTGTATGGTCTGACGAGCAGCCGTGTGTGCATCAGCTTAATTATATACGTGGAACTTACCTGGTATTTGAGTAGTAGTTTTGATAACGCTTCGGATACGGCACGATCGCCGCTTCCCGTGCCTGACGGCAGCAGGTTGTGTCTCGACCGCCAGTTCACACCTGAACACCATAATTAATCATCGTCATTGTAAGGTAGATATGAAATAAAAAATAAAGTCAGTTATCAAGAGACCTCTGTGCTTTATTAACGTCTCACATAACAGTCATCAGCATCAGCCTTTTACGTTCCCACTGCAGAGGTCCAAGACTCATTTATGGAAGGTTAAGGAGGATGGAGCTTGTACAGATTTATATTGTATTGCAAATTGCAGCCGGGGGCTTAGCGTGCGTCTCTAAGCGCGGAGTAGCTCGAGATAATATTTTTTCGGTCATCCATCCCGTGACCGACCATTGAAAAAGTTGCCTTACAACAGCGATCGCGGGGCACGGCGGTTGTCCGCTACGCCAACGAGATCTACAAGCATTTTTATTGCTTCTCCACTCCTATTAGATATTAAGTGTTGTTATAGCCTTCTTCGTTGAATGTACTGTTGAATACAAAAATATTTTTCCAATACGAATCAGTACTTCTTGTACAGAATATTATTCTAAACTACTGGAGGGATTTTAAATATTCTTTACCTATGGGAAGGTAGTCCTATGTAAATTTTGGTGAGCGCGCTCGATTTACTTTAAGCAACTATCGAAATAGTCGGTCACGGGATGGGTGACCAAAAATAATTCTACTTCGCGCTTCGGAAGGCGCGTTAAGCCGCTGGGCCCAAATGCGTCTGCAGTCGTTTATAACCCACCAAATCGCTCTGAACTCGCTTGGTTAAGGCCCATTCTCCCTAGTTGATTCTCGTCCATCGATAGAGAAGGCCTGATCCCCAGAAGTGGTTACATCAATGTGATGATGAATTACGGATTAAAGGATGTATTTTTAAAATTCTTTCACCCATCCGAAGCTACATCAAACATTCAATAATATTCTAAATGTGAAAGTTTCTTTGTTTGGATGTTTGTCCGTCAATCACGCTGAAACTACTGAACGCATTTTTATGAAATTTGGTATACAGATAGTGTATTAGCTGACTTAGATGATAAGATACTTTTACGCTGGCTAATTTACGTAGCGAAGTCAAGGGAAAACTGATAATACCTACCAAAAAACAACATATTGTATGTATAACTATTAATTACATAAAACTGAGACCTTGTATAATGAATGTTAGAAGGTTTTAATATTACTCAGGTTGTTACGCTCCAGTTGAGCCGGATTGGTGTGAAAGGGAACTAAATTATACGTTTATATAAATGAAATATATTGAATGTTCGCGTTAGGTTGCGATTACAAAAGTCGTCATGGGATGGGTGACCGTTTTTTTTTATCTCAAGCTCAACCTTGCTTTATAACGCACAAGGCACTTTCAATTGTGTAGGTATCACGGACAGGATGGACAGGAAGATATATCTTCTTTTATTTATTGGAGTTGAATTCCGGGTTAGGTAAATTTTATTGGGTTTTTCTGTCGGGTCGGGTGCTGTCAATATATAATATTAGATGTCTCTAATATAGAGTGTATGTTTTTGTATTATGTTGGCTAATGTCCTGTCAAAATTTGCCATGATCGGAATTTTTCAGGCGTATGTTCAATGTTATGAATGAAGCGTTTATTGTAAAGTTTTTATTAAAATATTACAAGTATCAAGAAGTGTTTATCCTTCTTCCCAAATGTTGCCTTCTACAAAATTAAAATTTCCCGATTTGCCATCAAGTTCTGGTAGCCTAAACTTTATTAAATCATCACAAGTATCAAGACGTCTTTATCCTCTTTCCCCAATGTTGCCTTCTACAAATTGAAATTTCCCGTTTTGCCATCAGATTCTGGCAGCCTATACTTAAACAGATATTTTTAACAAACAGAATATAAATATCTTCTTAATCAAAAATACTTAATAATCCACTTTGTCCCTGAATTGATTTTTCATTAACCCCTTACTGCATGATTTATTAAGGAGATGAAATAAAAATTATTTATTTGCAAAAATGTGTTTATTTAAGCTTACATAATGAGATCCAATTGAGACCAAAAATTATTAACTTATATAATAGAAGTTTTTAAACGACGCCATATATGGCTTCGTATGCACTCCAGCCAACAAATGTTCCTTCAAATATGGCTTCGTATGCATTTAGGAGCAAACTAACTTAAACTTGGTGAAATTCTTTATAACAATTGAGTTTGTCATTATAACATAAAAAAAATACATTTTTCACATAATGTGAAAGAACGATATTTGGAACCATATAGGCATAACTGCCGGGCGTTCTTCTTCCAAATCGGATAATGACCAATGGTATCAGAACGTACCGAATCCAAAGGCATATCGTGGTGTCTAGCTGGGGTCTGTCGTGCTCTTTTAGCGGGTACTGGAGAGTCTGGCATAGGAGTACCACCTCGGCTAGATGTCGGTGTCCCCAGAATGCTGGATGGACAACCACGTTTCTTGGTAAAACAGGTTTCTCTGCTTTTCGAATATGCTCAGAAACGGCGAGTTTAAAGTCATACAACGGCATGTAGCAGTCTTTGTTGATTCGGCGCCATAACAACCAAGCGTTTACGAGAGACATATCCACCATGCGAAAAAAAAACCTCTTATACCACTTACGAGACCGCAAATGGATTCTGTAGTAACGCAGCATGGAATCAAGCAGATCTATTCCTCCCATATGCTAGATCTGCTGCCTCACATATCTATCCCCTCCATGACATCGACAGCATGGGAAGAAGGTATGTCAACATATTTTTTATTCTGTCGAATAAACGCCTTTTTGTTGTTGTAGGCTCACTACCAACGTAGGCAGAAAGAAGATTCCCATTATTGTTATCAAACCAGGAAACCAGGCTTAGCTTTACTTTATCTATGACCGCTACTTTTTCTGCCATACTTCCACGCCCTTGTTTCTTCAATTCTTTCTTAGTAGGCATATTCGAGTTCGAGAAGTAGACCTTGTTTGTAAAGAAGGACTTGAAGATATGGGCTATTGAACCAGTAATCAAAACAGATCTTGTAGTTAAGATTAGCGGTGCCGTAGAAGCGTGCTGGGTGCATTTCTGGAATAAGCATAAAAACCACCTCAGATGCATACCAAGCCATATATGAAAAGAAAAGTTTTGACCGGAATGCATACGAAGCCAAATTTGGCAACTTCAAATGAGTGGGCAAAAAAAGGCAAAAGAAACAAAATAATGCGAAATCGAAACTTTTCCCTCATTTTGAAAAGTTAAGAGCATGTAATATGATTTTTTTCAAAACAATTACTTACCTTTTTGGTATTTATTTTTCACGTTCAAAATACCATATTTTTTCCTGCATCCGGCCCGTCGCACTGCTACACATGATCTTAAAAATATGTGAGAGATGACATTTGCCAGACACAGATTTTTAACATTCCGTTTCACGATGAAACTCTGGTTCTGGTATGAGTTACTTTTTTATGATAAACTATATCATTGACTTGTAAAAAAATCATAAACTTTAGCGTCCATATATGGATTCATATGCGGTAAGGGGTTAAGAATATTTTTCAATACAGCATTGTAAATGTAAAATTTACCAAATAAAATAAATAAACAAGATTTTGAATGAAGTAAAATTGTTAATAGTATTATTAGATATTAACAGTACTTATTTCATTGGGATGACGACAAATGGTTTTTGTTTGTCTGTCGGGTAGATTGTTGAAAAATATTAGACGCGTATCTTTTTTTTTTTCTTAAAATGTCGCATGACATCACACTTTTGTACATTTCCTACAGAACTGTGACGCAGCGAGCCCCCTCTCCTCAACTTTAATGCCTGTTATCTAAGCTATTTCTTGTTTAAATTGAAGTAAAAAAAATACGTATCTAATATTTTTCTATTATCTGGCTGACGAACTAAGTAGAATTTTTTTTTTGGGATACTTATCCAAGTAATTACTTCTCTGGATTATTTTGCATAAAAGTTCACTTATTATGTAAATGCCATGTCTTTATATATTTTTTGATTGATATATATTTTCTTTTTATTTCAGGTAAGTGAATACTGCGTTTAAATTGGTTCGAGTATGAAATACAGGTCCGTATTTAAACGAAGGTTTTCGTATCTATACTAATATTGTAAAAATGTTCATGTTTGTCTGTTTTTTAAATTACTGGGCCGATTTTAAAAGTATTTTACCTACGGGAAGCTACATAATACGCGAGCGACATACGCTATATTTTAAGGGATCGAAGTCGCGGGATAACAGCTAGCTTACTCATAAATAAGGACAATTTATTCTCCTTGCTTAAAATGTTGACGGTTTGGAATCCGAAAAGCGGCGTCTAAAATTAAGATATTTTATAGGTACTAAACAATATACGATAGTATAATTTGGGTAGAGCGCCCCCCACTTAGCTTAGTCTTACCTCACCATGTATCACACTGGGTTAAAAATCTTGAAAAAATATGACGTGATTAAAGGACGGCCCCTATAGAGAATAATAACATTACAGGCCTGAATTAGGGTAACCTGTTTGTCATGCGAAACAAAGCAAAATAAACTGTAGCTTAAAACTATCACTACGCAAAAGGATTTTATTAAGTATCTAAATATTAATTTAGCGTACTCCACCTTAGTGTATAAAAGAGATTACATATTTTTATTTTATAACAAACAATAATTTCTCTGTAACATATGGCAAAATTTGGAGAGTTTTCTTACAATTTCGAAAATGCAGTAGATATTTAGTTTCGCATTGAGTCTATTGTAAAGTATACGTCCGAGAAGACCAAAAAATCCGGAGGAAGAAGCATGTTTAGATTTTGTATTAAGGGGGAAAAACCTATCTTTTCGTCTTTTGTTAGTGGAGTAAATGCAGCATTAAAAATTGTGTGCTCTCACCGTTTGAATCGTACCCTATGATGACTATATCCGATACGTTAAGCCCTCCGACGGTCAAGTCGTTCCACACCGCTAAGGCCCTGTTCAGAGCCATCGGCCGCAACGGCACCAGCAAACCGGCGGGTGGTCGGATCCACGAGTCTTCCAGCCAGCTCTTGAGGGTCGCGCTCTTGCTCACCGCTTGGTCGGGGCGCGGTTTGGTGTCGAAGTTCCTCTGCTCGTTTGGGTTCGATTCCGCTGCGAATGTAATGATTATTTTATTTTCGATGAAGAACGTTGTTAGCTTGAGCTGGTGAGTGCTCAAAATGTCAACCGGGGCAGAAATTTCATGTAGCGCCTTTCTTAAAAACCTCCCGCCCTTTTTTGTTAGGCCGTTTGTTTGTTAGGCTTTTTTTTCTTTTATGGTCTTTGAAAAAATATCCATGTCATCGTAGCCATGAGTATGAATTTTATTACAATTTTTTTATGTGTGCCCCCACTTAAACCCTAGATCCGGCCCTGTTCCCTTACTCCGTCTGAGGTTAAATAGTATTCTGAACGTCGGTAGATCGTATTGTGGTAAATCGATCTCTTAAAATGTCGTTTCTGATCGAATATCCCTGTACATACATTAACTGATCTATTAACATTATAATAACTAGTTGTCAATGTTTCTCCGAATACTGATTCGTCTGTTTGCAATTTAAATTTATGCGTCGTAAAGCTTGAAGTTGCGTGTATCGTTTTATTATCTAATCATAGGAAAATTTCTACAACAACATTGTGATATTGTGTAAACGGTATTAGAACCAAATAATATTAGAGGCGTTAATTTTAAAAACTCTCGCAATCCCACTCGCTTGACATTTGACAAGTATTGAATGAAAGATATCGTTATTTTTTTTCAACACAGAGTAGAATACTATACACTTACATTTGTCAGTTTTTGGGTTCCTCTGGCCCTGGATGTCCAGGTCGTCTTCTAAGACGGCGATCCTTGGCACGAAGTCTTCGGCGTCAACAGTTATGCCAGCCGGTTGTGGTGTGGTCTCCAACTGTTTATTACATTATTTGCCTGTTATTAGGGCCGGGTGTGAAACCGGAAGATCTTATTAGGTGACGGAAGAGAGTCCGACAATCCTGTCAGGGACTGTGATTGAAGCATTTACCCGACGCTTTAAGAAAAGGTGAAATACCAGGAAGTGGGATTTTCATTAGCAGTCAATTAATTTAGGCCTTTACAAAAGCAACAGCTACTATTCAGGCCGTTTAATTAAGTCAATATTACTCAATCTTGAGCAATCAATATCTTGATCAATGTTAATGAAAATAAAAGCTAAATTCCACATATTTTGGAGTATCAGAGACAACGGAGGTATCACTATGCCCAGAACCAAGAAAATATAGAGAAGTTCATTTTCAAACTCGACCGGGAACCGAACCCAGGACCTTAGAGTAAAACCGATGTGCGAACGTCCAACTCCAACATTCTGCTGGAGTTGAACGTTTCATTAGGCCACCGTTCACTTACCCTTCCATTGTAATTCTCGCCAGGATAAATATCCTCCTCGACATCCTGACTGTGTTTATAAACTTTGTCCTCGACATTGGACACTGTTGCTATCACAGTCTCTGTGACATCAGCTGTTGCTATACTGTGACTAGCTTCAGCTGATTCTTCATCATTTTTCACTGTGTCATCACTCCGAAAATTGTCGTCACCAGCAGCTTCTGTTGTAGTGTACTCTTCAATAGTGGTAGCTTTTACGTAATCACTGTCCTGGTCGTAATTGGGATGTTGCCTACAAGTGAAAATTAGGGTTTCTGTTATTTGGTCCAGAAAATACAAACTAATAGCTGTTATACGGGGTTCTCTATTTATTTGCGGAAAATTTTATGTCATAATTTAACATGGCATACCTTTGTTTAGCCTAATAATTGTAACGCATAATATTATTTGGCATAAGTTTTTAGGCATGTTTTTTTAAGCACACCTACTATTAGCATAATAAATCTTAACCATAATATTCTTACGCATAATTATTCTTAATCATAATGTTCTTACGCATAAATATGCTTAAGCATATTAATACTAAAGCTTAAGTTTAAAACTACTTTTTCTACATAAAATAAACATGTTGGCGGCTATGGGTGGCCCAAGGACCACCCTCGCCGTAAGCCACCCACCCTCGCCGCAACCTAACCTACTGTTACACGAGGGTATCCTAATACCTACCTGCTAATAACTATTAGGCAAATAAACGAGTATGCCTAATATTTTATGCAAATAAAAGTTAGGGCAAAAAACATTAGTCTAAACTATATTTATGCCTATTGAAATAGTAAGCCAAAACCCTATTATGACAAATAATAGTATGCGTAAATAAAATAGTATGCGCAAAAAATAATAGGAATAACTCGTTATGCCAAACTAAAATAGGACAAAAAATAGTCGAATGAAAGGGATCCCGTTATACCGTGACATTGCTTGCGTATATATAGGGATTCATTTCAGAACACAGGTGCCACCTAAGACGAAATTTTGATTATTAGTAACAATGCCGTTTTATTATTAGACACGTAATGCCCCTACATTGAGTTTTAAAATGGCGAAGACTTTATTGTGGTAGCGTTATATTATAAGACAACCACAAAGAGCGCGAAGGGATAAAAAATATTTATCTCCCTATTAGAATCATACAGCATACCTCTTATTAGAGCGGGATAAACATACTCACTAGCTTTACGTGTCAATCTCGCCTAGTAGAAAGAAAAATGGCCGCGTTCAATTTCGTAGTTTTATTATTAAAATAAAAAGTGTAAGTGCAGTACTTACGCATGAAATTATATCTGTTTTTATTTTTCTCATTGGCATTGTGTAATTTGTGCATTGTTTAAACACTTTTCACAGAAAATTACGAGTGAATATGACATTAGCCACAACTCTTGCTGAAAAGTGACTAAATTGAAACTCGGGTAACTGCCTTGCTTTCTTGCTGTCAATTTTGTGCGTAGACAAACAAACTAAACTTTTTAATACATCATTGAATAGTAACGCTGACTTAATAACCCTGCGAAGTCTTGCAACAGCCGGTTTATTTATAAAACCATTTTTAAGTACATGTAAAAAAGTAATTAGCTCTTTTGTGAGCTTAGACTTAACAAATATGTGCAAATAAAAGTTGAAAAATGATTGGTCGTGTGCCAAAATTTTGTATTGCGTATTATTAATCAAAACGTAATCTGTTTTATTTGCGAGTTTATAAATCTTTTTTTTTTTTATTCTTTGTTGCATTTTTAACACAAAAGTCGGACTTAAGGCATTCTCTGCCAGTCTACCAGAAAAATATGTTGGAGTCTGGATGTTAGGCGATAAGAATAAAAAGAAAACACAGGCACACACAAAAAAAACAGTGGCCAAATAATTATTACATCTAAACAAATTAATAAAAGCATAATACTATATATATATATTTACACAAATTGAAAAAGATAAGAGATCTGGCTACCAGGTAATTGCAAAGGAAACCACAAAAACACACTGTCACAGCCGTATATTAGTTTTCTCACTGAAGTTTTACATTTGTTTTCGTAAGTCGAAAAGTATGAATGATATTTATTTAAAAACTGAGAATTTAGAAAATAAACATGCCATAAAGGTTTGCGTAGCAGGTCACCAACACAAATATATATGTAAATATAGATAAACTATACATATATAATATCCAAAATAAAATACAAGCAGAACGCATATGAGATAGTAACATATGGAGTAGTGCTCATGCATCAATCTCTTGAAAACTATTATACTATGAGCAGTTTTAATATGAGCTGGGAGTGCATTCCAAAGGCGAATAGCTGTCAGAGTGAAGGATTTGGAAACAAAATCTGTGTGATAAACGGGATTTATGTGTTTCCAGAGATGAGTTTTGGTTCTTGAACTCTTTAATGTATCTTAATGATAGAGTGTTATGATTATACGTAAAATTTTAGATGGTTATTCTTAAGAATTAACCGTAGATAATGACAATAGTCCAACTTGCCTGTCGTCCGCGTAATTGTCCGCGTTGCTGATGGGCTCTTCGTGTTCTTTGTCATTATATTTTGAGTTGTCTTCTTCGTTATAATGTTGCACTAATTCACTGTCACTCAGGTTTACACTTATAGTATTAACTAACACTAAAACTAGTAAAAAAGTCCTGCATTTGGACGCCATTTTGTTGTTTCAGCACTCGCTCATCATACACGTGTTAATATCTGTAACAATATAAAAATGATATTTTAAATAAAAAAGAAACTGATTTTTAATACACGATTTTATATCTCGCACAACCAGTAAGTATTTAAAAAAAAAATAGTTCCCGAAATCGAACTAGATGTCGCTACGGCACGTTCTTGATTTCTCCATGACAACCTTTCCGGTTTTCTTTCGTGTATAAAAGTAAATTAGTTTTCAAAACTCAATAAACAACTCATATTCTATTTGTAGTTTTTCGTATTTGTTTTGATATCTAAGTTTCGAACTTTGCAAATTTCAGATTTTTTTTAATATGTTAGTTAAAAGGAACGGAAATGATTGTCTTTGGTCCATTCGTTTGCTGCAAAAATCAACTTTTGCTAGAGTCGCCATCTAGTGGAGGTGTTTTTTAGTTCTTTCGTTTTTGTTTAATACTTCTTCATTGCAAAATTGTTCTATTAAAATAGGGTGTGAGTAATTATTATGTGTTAATTGAAAAATGTTAAACAGGTATTTTTTTTGGGTAATCAATAAATTACAGCGGTACATTAAGTTGCAATTTAATTTTTCTAAATAGTTGTGACGTAGCATGCCCCCACTCCTCAACTTTAATGCCTATTATCTGAGCTTTTTGGGGCAACTTTTAAACGGTTTCATCGTATTTGTATTTTTCTTTTATTGACGACTAGTGGCCGCCAGCGACTTCGTCCTCGTTTTCCATTATTTCCTCGCTCCTCATAGTTGCAGCGTGATGTTATATAGCTTAAAGCCTTCCTCGATAAATGGTCTATTCAACACAAAAATAATTTTTCAATTCGAACCAGTAGTTCCTGAGATTAGCGCGTTCAAACAAACAAACAAACTCTTCAGCTTTATAATATTAGTAAGGATTCGTTTTTCCATTTTTTAACCGACTTTAAGAAAAGGAGGAGGTTCACATTCGACTGTATTTTTTTTCTGTTTAAAATTGTTCCACTATGTGGATCTGAAGTATCAGTTCACTTTAGATAAGCTCTTGCTCAAAACGTTTGGAATCTCTGGTCTAAACTATTTTTTTTGAGTTGACTTTAATCATCCTATTATCATAATCACCCGTAGTGTATTAATGTCCCAACTATGGGCCCAGTGTGAACTTGTGGGTGTTAAAGACTGCATATGCAGCCGGAATCGATGGCATAACGTGCCTTTTGAAGCACGGAGGAGTGGGAGATATTAAATTTTTGATCACCCATCCAGTGGCTGGCCTTTGCAAGAGTTGCCTAAATTTCGCAACGCAGACCGAACCGGTATCTGGACTCCTCGAAATATTAAATATAATTATACTCCTGTATAGTCTCTTATACAAATATTATAAGCAGGTAAAACTAGTAATTGTTATGCAGTAGCTCGATCGTTGTTGTTAAGCAACTTTCACAATGGTCGGTCACGGGATGGGTGACCAAAAAAATATTCTTTAATTACTCGTTGCTTCGGAAGGTACGTTAAGCCGCTGGTCTCAGATGCGTTTGCAGTCGTCAATACCCTCCAATCCGCATTGGGCCAGCGTGGAGGGTCATGGCCCATCCTCCTTAACCATCCATAAGGAAGACCTGAGCCTTTGCAGTGGGGAGGTGATGATGACGAGGCTCCGAAACTACTGGAGCTATTTTACATTTTTATCACCTACCCGAAGCCTTATCATACACGGGTAACATAGGATTTAATGCGGCCGGAGACACGGTAAAAGCTAGTAATATCATAACTTATGTTGGCAAAATTTAATTGAATCGGGTTTTTATAAACAGAATTGTCACCTTATACATATCTTAAAAACTATAATAAATCAACCATCGATATTTTTTTCCAATATTCAGTATTGTAAAAAAATAATGCTATAAGGATTAATATACTTTAAGCTTTATACGGTCGTGTTAAGGTGGTTTTTTGCGTGAAACTCGATTTACTGTATGTTTGTTTTATATTCTTGTACGAGATGACTCTGTCTAGTTTCTGTCTTGTTTTTCTTTGTCGTCTCTTTTTTTTTTTAATCGGCTACCGTTAATTATGGCTTTTATTGAAATTGTATGTCTGCTATTATTATTTTTGTCACGTCATTCATAGACGCGTAAATTGGGCTAATAGGGATGATGACTGGGTAAAAAAAATGCAATTCTATTTAGTCCTTCAGTCAGATAATAGAAAAATATTAGATGCGAACAAGAAATAGCTTGGATAACAGGCATTAAAGTTGAGGAGTGGGGGCTCGCTACGTCACAGTTGAGTAGAAAACGTACTCTAACGTGACGTCATGCGAAATTTCAACTCAATGTAACGCCGTAATTTTATGATTACGAAAAAAATGAAAAAATACGTGTTTAATATTTTTTAACACTCTACCTGACGGACAAACAAACAAAAATTAGTCATCTTCCCTATTGTCTTGTTTTAAAGATATATCGCAAACCCTTTCAAAGGTGTAGCTGTTGTGATAGCAATTAATGGAATTAACTATTTCAAATTTTTATATAATAATAATCACAAAGTTCGAAACTTAGATATCAATACAAATACGAAAAAGTACAAATAGAATACGAGTTGTTTATTGAGTTTTGAAAACTAATTTACTTTTATACATGAAAGAGAACCGGTAGGGTTGTCACATAAGTAATAAAGAAAGCACCGTAGCGACATCTAGTTTGATTTCGGGAACTATATTTTTTTAAATACTTCCTCATTCAGTTACCATTCAACTATCGTTGGAAAGTTCTCAATATCTTTCGAGAATTTATCGCTTTGCTTAGACATTTCTAACTGTCGTCAAATCAACGACATAATTATCATTTACGTCTAGTATGCGCGATCGTTGTTGTTCAGCGACCCTCGCAAGGGTCGGTCACGGGATGGGTGACCGAAAAATTCGAAAAGATCTACCCGTATTGGGCCAGAGTGGAAGGTCATGAACTATCCTCTTTAAATATCCTCTTCTGATAAGGTGAATAACATTTACCAAATGTTTCCCAAAAACCCCATGACCTCGCCGATAATCCAATCGTGACTTGACTCTTCGTGTACTTTTTAAAAAAGCAATTGTTTACATTCATACTTTATAAGAAAGGAAAAGGGGGGATTACATTAAAACAAACGGCCAGCGCGAGTGGGAATCGCACACGAATGGTTCCGCACCGGAAACGAGTATAAAATATTTATTTTATTACGGTTTTTACCCGACTACGGCGTAGCGAAAAGGAAAGTGTTGATTTTGGCCGGCATATGTATTTAAGAATGTTCATCTGACAAATGAGGTGTCATTAGAAGCGTCTTAGTTGTTCGCGTGCTTTAAGCTATGTGACGTTACATTAAATTGACAATAGCGCCCTCTAGAGAGCATAAAGTAAGGAACTAAAAAATATATATAATTCAATCATTCCGTGTGAGGTATCATATGAAAGGACTTAATAGGGTCGTTTACGACGACTAATTTTTGTTCGTTTGTCCGTCAGGTAGAGTGTTAAAAAATATTAAACACGTATTTTTTTATTTTTTTCGTAATCATATAATTACAGCGTTATATGGAGTTGATATTTCGCATGACGTCACGTTATGGTACGTTTTCTACTCAACTGTGACGTAGCGAGCCCCCACTCCTTAACTTTAATGCCAGTTATTTCTTGTTAAATTGAAGTTTTCTATTATCTGACAGACGGACTAAATAGAATTGCATTTTCTTTTACACAGTCGTCATCTCTATTAGCACATTTCAAATATATATATAATCTGTTTTTTTTAATAGCTATCAATAATATGTTGCTTGCGATTTTGCTTAAATACACCCGAAAATTAATTTAATAAAAAAAGTTCAATTACTAAATCACGCTCTAAAAAGTTTGAAACAAGAAGTTTATTTTATAGCGATAGCCAAAGGGCAGCGTAGTCGATTGCCACACAGGTTTGTTTTGTTATAATCGCTATTATAATAATAAAGCATTCGCTATAAAATAAATACCTTGTTACAAACTTTTTAGAGGGTCATTTAGCAGTAGCGGGTTTTGGTTTCTGAACTTATTTTTTTAAGTTTTTGTTGTTGAAATGGCAACAGAAATATATAAATTTAGCGGTTAAACTTTCACAGTTCATAAGCCGCAGCCTGGTCTTACGAACCGTAAACAGACAGAGAATAGGGATCCCGTTTTACCCTTTGGCTACGGAGCCCTAAAAAGACGAATAAATATGACATTCCGATTGGTCATTACCGCGCACGTGTCCAATTAGATTCGATGTTTCGATAAAAAAAAGGATCCCTCCATGATATTTGACTCACTCTTTTGTAGTAAGGTAGGGTTTACACAGGCGCGAGTGAGGCGTGGCATGGGTGAAGCGTTAAAACATTAATTTTGGTTGCGAAATAAGATAGAAAATATAATTTACTCGCATCACAATGTCAACACATGTGTATGTCCAAATTATAAATCTTATAAAAATAAAAACACATGAGAAAAAAATGGAAAATCTCTGTATTTCCTTTGTTCATAGCAAAGTACTGATTTTAAACCTTTATAAAGTATTGTTTATATATTATAGATTTGGACACAATCATATGACACTTAATTACTTCCCTGTATGCAATAATATATTCTTTTTGTTTGAATTACAAAGATTTTGCATTCGATTACAATAGATGTGCTTTTGCCTAAAATTCTCTTCTTTACTTCTGAAAATATTTCCAAACATTTAGCTCAGTGTTTCTTTTGGATCTGACAAAGGAAACACTGTAAAAATGATTTTGGTTTTTTAAAGTCACGCACAGCCATATAAGACCAATAAAGTGGCCTAATAATAATTAACTTTGTAGATGTGTACGAGGATATGTATGATATCCACACCGCTTTCAAGGTATCGGCCGCCATCTCTGCGATCTCAGGATCAATTTCCAATATGAAAAATAAAATTATTTATATTGTTTCGAGTCCTAAAGGATTTGTTTTTGTGTTTTAGAGCCTCGTTTAACTGTGGCACATAACGAATGCTAAGATTTTCTTATTAT